TCAACCATAAAAGATAGACATATGCTGTTGCGGTATATTTTTTAGACAATTTTATGTAGAATATTTCGGTCATACATGATTTCTATATAACTTTAACCATTAAGGCTGCACATGCGACAGAAGCTTAAAAAATGAAGTAACTTCTCCCGTTTTCCCAACATTTCCCTTCACTACTCTGCTCCTATTGATTGCAGCGTGATGAAAAGTATACTATAACCTGCCCAGGAGTATGAAGAATAATTGTACCAAGTTTTGTTAAAATCCGTCGAGTAGTTTTTGTTTCTATAAGGAACATACACACAGACAGACAGACAGACAAAAAATTTACTGATTGCATTTTTGGCATCAGTATCGATCACTAATCACCCCCTGATAGTTATTTTAAAAATATATTTCATGTACAGAATTAACCTCTCTACAGATTTATTATAAGTATAGATTAAAGGCAGGTTTAAATGAACACTAGAATAGAATAGAAATATTTTTATCGCTCTCACAGTAATACACAGTTCAATACATAGTACAATGCGATATGACAGCGTGAAGAGCAAATGGATGCGGCTCAGCATAAACTGCTTCGTTACAGAATGACTCGGGCAGCGCTGGTTTTCAGCCACACCCACTTCTCCTTAGATCAGTGTTTCCTAACCTTTCCAATACTGCTACCCATGTAACCTATTAGGAAAACAGATTTTACCCCGACTTTAAAATGTTATCAGCAGTCCAAGAAATGGGCAGCGTTTAGGAAGTTACGTCAAGTCCTGACATCGTCGATCCCACAGTGTCTAAAGACGAAAGTCTTCAATCAGTGCGTCCTACCTGTGATGACATACGGAGCCGAGACGTGGACACTGACGGTACGGCTGGTCCACAGGTTCAAAGTCGCTCAACGCGCTATGGAAAGGGCTATGCTCGGCGTTTCTCTGAAGGATCGCATCAGAAATGAGATAATCCGACAGAGAACCAGAGTTATCGACATAGCCCACCGGATTAGCAAGTTGAAGTGGCAGTGGGCTGGCCATATTTGTCGAAGAACCGATAACCGTTGGGGTAGACGAGTTGTGGAGTGGAGACCGCGTCTAGGCAAACGTAGTGTAGGACGTCCTCAGGCGCGATGGAGTGACGATTTGCGCAAGGTGGCTGGCAGGAGCTGGATGCGAGTAGCCCAAGATCGATCTGAGTGGCGTGCATTTGGAGAGGCCTATGTCCAGCAGTGGACTAAGATAGGCTGTTGATGAAGATGATGATGAAGTCCATAATGTCATCATCAGGAGAAAATCTCGCCCCGCTTCCCACACTCAGCACCCCGCGGGCTCGCTAGCAAGAAGGAGCGCATGCTCTATTTAGTAGTATTATTATATAGTATTTTCTTATTATTTCGATTTGATCAAATAATTAGGTTCTTTGTTACCCCCGAAGTATGGCTGATTTACCCCCGGAGGGGTAAGTACCCCCAGGTTCGGAACCCAGGCCTTAGATGAAAGCGAGAAATGCAAAAGAAATCCAACAGAAGTAGGTTGTACTTCTACGATCATATTGTGTATGTGTGTGTGTGTGTGTGTGTGTGTGTGTGTGCGTGTGGGTGTGTGTGTGATGCACTACGCCATCGTTTTGTTGTATGTGATTACATACGCATCGATGATCCCATGTCATCGTGCGCTCGTGTTCGCACGATTGCGCCCGCGCACGCCATCCGAATATCACTGTTACCTCATTTATTCATCGTGTATAAAGTTCAAATGTGAATGAATCTTTAATGTTTTAACAACTGTTACATTTGCTTTTGTTACCGAATAGCTTAAGTGCCTACCTACCATTTTTTATTTGCAATTTTCTTCACATAACGCACACTAAATTGTGGTCGTTACCTCATCGTCTCTAATGAAACTAAAATAAATTATAAATTCTTACTTGCTGTTATCAATTTTATTTTTTTTAAAGCAGAAAGATAAAAATACATAGTTTAAGTACCTACTCGGCTCAAAGAAAAGATTATTGTTTTTTTTTTTAATGAATTGAAGCTGTCACAATACAAATCAACATCTAACTGGCCTGATGAGTACTGGTTGAGAGCCCTTTTACAAATTTGCGCCGCTGCCATACTGATCGACGCGTAGGTAGATTTGCACGTGTATATATTGCATTTTACGAGTGATGTTTCGAGTCTTATAAAATAATTATTAATGAACTAATTATAAAAATATATACATATTTCAGTAGTTCAATGATGGTATAGGTTAGTTTTATGAAAGTTTTTAGTAATTTTATTTAAGTCAATATCAAAATACGAGGTAAACCTGCATTATTTTTTGGGTATGTTGATATCGTAGTAATTAATTTGATCTAATTTATTGAACATTATTCAGGCGTTTGAAGTTGTGCAATATTATCGTTTTTCCGCAAACTAGCTGCAGTAGAACGATCAGTACAAAAAAAGAAAAAAGTATTTGCAAATTATTCTATATTAACTTACAAAAGGAAGAATAAATCTACTGTTTACTTCAATTGGAAATAGTCAAAAATCTTTTCTAAGGGGATATACGAGGCGCTCAAAAGTTACGATTAATTGCAAAAAATGTGAAAGGGCTCTTAAGTGTGAGGAGCTCTAATTGTGAAAGAATTTTGATGATAATTAGTTGAGACTAACGGCACATAAAGAGTTTTAGTGTGTCTAGTGATTTTGTCAGGGGTACTAATAGATATATTGCTTAATAATTCAGGACAGTCGATGCTGCTATTAACAGTCTTCAATAGAAGGGAGATGTCCGCCATTTCTCTGCGTTTCTGAAATGGTAAAGTATGATAAGCTTTACATCTACTGAAGTAACCATGGTGAAATTTCCTACATTTAAATTGAATATGACGTAGAAACCGTTTTTGTATAGCTTCGATCCCCGAACTACTTTACTATAGGTATTCTACGAAACATCATAAAAAATGGATGCGTGTAACTTATGTACGCGCGTGAGAAGTTATCTCTACGAAACATCATAAAAAAATGGATGCGTGTAACTTATGTACGCGCGTGAGAAGTTATACTTCTTTTAAAAATTAAATAAATATTCAAAATATTCAATTAAAATCACTACTGAAATTAAGTTATTAGTCCATATGTAATTAGCACTTGTAAGTAACTAAAACACGTTGTGTCTATATAGAAACTAGAAACATGTGGATAAATATTATAAATATGAAAACAGTGATCAGAGGCGACGAGCGTGCCAACATTGTTTTTGACAACGCGATCATCTTATGGAGCTCCGTGGATCGTTCAAAGTACCTTCGAACAGATGTCTAATAATGGTGGATTATTAACCACTAAGTGGTTAATAATCGACCATTATTAGACACTAACATTCATAACGCGCCCGCGGCCAACTTCATGGTGTTACTATTGTGTTACAGTGATGCGCGCGCATCTAAAAATTTCACTCTCATCATTTTTTCATAACGCGCCTAAAGAAGTATAACTTCAATAAATGTTAACATCCGACAGCGACAGTGGTTAATTAACTACTCGGATCTAGTTACGGGCAATTATGACAGCAATTATTGCCGCGCAACGGGGAAAGTGTTGCCGCAGCGAAAAAATCTAAATTACCATTGTGTTTACTCACTCCCACGATTTTGCGATAGGGAAAATCGTAATCTGTGGGAAGTTTTAAAACTAAAGCGAAAGCGATGCGACAGAGCCTCGTATCGACTCACCCGATGTCGCTCTTCTGTTTCATAACATTTATAATTTCGCTTCCTTTATTATTTTGTACAGATGACGAACTACTTTTTATTATTCAAATTACGGGCATACGGATTTCATTATCTGATTGTCTTCTTTCGTAACGCATTGTGTCGAAAAACTCGTTTTTTATCGTTTCGTCTTAACAGTAAAGATCTTTTCAGTTGTTCAATCCAAATGCTAAGCTAATTATATGTGTAGTAGGAGATTCCAATCGGGGATTTTGGAATTTACTCGAGCCCGGCAGAATGTGATTGAAGTTGACATCAACACATGTTTTCAATTTTTGATGTCATCTTTCAATTGACGACACTATATGAAACAAAACAGGGAGAAAAAAATAGCACTTCCTGATTTTCTTGCGGGTTCGTCTCAGTACAAGGTCTCCCGCCGTAGATTTACGAACCGATGACGTAGCGTTTGACTTTCACAAGAGCTTGTAACAGCCTAGACTGAATAACTGAGTTTGTGTTTGAGATTAACATAAGGACTCCTACCATACCTGAGCCTTTTATATATGGTCAAACGTCCAGGTCAGCAAAAATATTTTTTTACAATCGACCATGACTTTTGGTCTCGTTCTAATCGTCAATCTACTGGAGGATTCACGTGCATTCTTCTGCATCGAAAACCTAGGGCCAACATGGAATGTCAAACCTATGGAACATACAGACACAACAACTATTATTATTATTAAGTTGTTATTATTATTAGGGTTATTTTCTCTTATCCCACCTTCCCCTTCCATTCAGAGGACCACGCGCGCTGGCCTACGTTGTCACCGTCTAACTGTGGCCACAATTCCAACGCGTACAAAGAAATTTGGTGACTCATTTCTTTGTCGCACTATCCGTAATTGGAATACTTTGCCTGCTCACGTGTTCCCTCATTTTTTCAACCTGGGTTTCTTTGTAAAAGGCATGAAGAAGCAACATGCAGGCCGGAAAGGTGAGGATGGCTTAAGTGGCAGGTAGAACTGCTGTACCAGTTATCTTCATTTCTGGACTTCACCGTCACTTAACATCAGGTGGGGTGCGGTGGTCAGTCATTTGTCGAACCTATCTATAAAAAATAAATAATAAAGCAATCAACAATTATATAGGAAAAAAATATCTTCGTGCTGTGTTTTCTACAGACATAAGCATGACTAGACTTCTCCTAGCTCCACATTTATTCCTAAGCGGTAAAGGAATTTTGATTTTGTGTAAGAATCTTCACTCTTTAATAAGACACTTTTTAACTGGGTTGTCGAACTGTCTTCCAGAATGGAGTGCGGGAGTGCAACAGCAGTTCTGATGAGAACCGTTCATCGGGCCACGCGTCCATGTCGGACAGCGGGGGCGGGGGCGAGGCAGGCAGGGAGGAACCCAGGCGAGCCCGACAACCGCCACACAACAGGACCAAACACCGCCCACACAACAAGGTACAATACAATCAAGTAAACAACTAAACACCGCCCACACAACAAGGTACAACATAATCAAGTAAACACCAAACACCGCCCACACAACAAGGTACAACATAATCAAGTAAACAACTAAACAACGCCCACACAACAAGGTACAACATAATCAAGTAAACACCAAACACCGCCCACACAACAAGGTACAACATAATTAAGTAAACAACTAAACAACGCCCACACAACAAGGTACAACATAATCAAGTAAACACCGAACACCGCCCACACAACAAGGTACAACATAATCAAGTAAACAACGCCCACACAACAAGGTACAACATAATCAAGTAAACACCAAACGCCGCCCACACAACAAGGTACAACATTATCAAGTAAATACCAAACGCCGCCCACACAACAAGGTACAAAATCATCAAGTAAATACCAAACGCCGCCCACACAACAAGGTACAACATAATCAAGTAAACAACTAAACAACGCCCACACGACAAGGTACAACATAATCAAGTAAACATCAAACGCCGTCCACACAACAAGGTACAACATAAGCAATTAAACAACTAAACAAAGCCCACACACCAAGGCACAACATAATCAAGTAAATAACTAAACAACGCCCACACAACAAGGTACAACATAATTAAGTACACACGAAACACCGCCCACACAACAAGGTACAACATAATCGAGTAATTCATCAATCAAACATTTCGTCCACTACTGTGCTCAACTTTTATTTTTACGACAAAAGTTAGTTGTATTTATGTTTAATACTAGAATTCATCTAAAGCGAATCAGCGGGGAAGTGTACAGTAAAACGGTAATGCATAAGCATTTATACTACCCAATTTTAAGGGACCCTTACCCTGACTAAGGGTGTTGTAATGTGAGTTAGGGAGTTAGGGCGTTAAAATTGGGCAGTGTAAATCCCGTTTAAGTTCTACCATTATCGTGGATTAACGTTGTGTGAACGCAATGAACAGAGGTACATTATTGACGCGTCTGTTACTGTTTTAAGCTACTAAAAATATTTATATTAAATACTTGCCAATATTACGATTACGTAACATATTTTTGCATCCACACATATGCGACTGAGAGTGGGGCAACGTCGATATTATGTGCGATATGATATTTATATGTTTAATATCCATCATGCAGTTGCAGTCCCCCTGGCCAGGCGGTGGTGGACTGGAGGACATCAGATCGGCCATCAAGCAGCTGACGCTACGATCGCGCGACAGTAGTAGCACAGCCACCAGTGGCGGCAGCAACAACGGTGCCACAGGTCTGCAACAGTTTATATTCACACAGTTACAGTCGCCATAGCCGGGTCATCCTGTGTGGCGGCGACATCTATATGCCCCACAGATATACAACTGATGTAGGAAATCATTACTCACCATCCTCAAGAGATGGCGTAACCTGCACTGCGATCAATATTAGTATGGAAGCCTACATCGCGCAAATGAAATTCGGAGGCTAACTCTCCATATATACGATGCCCGACCAATATCAGTCGGGCCGCGGCCCCCGAGCTACCATCACCCAGCTCGGAGGAAGATCTTCCCCTTTGGCCTTCCTACACCTGTATTGGCATTGCAATAATGCAATCTAAAACTATAAAATGGTCTAAAAGTATTATTTATTTAGAATTTATCTTCTTTATAAGAATAGTGTGTGTCAAAACTTCCCATCATGATTGTTTATAAAATATCTCACTAAGTACCTACAATTCAAATAAGTTTTCTGACCATTGTTTGGGTTGGAGGGTTGATAATCTGGGATACAGGCTTTTTCATAGTCCAGGTATCAGCCCACCACAGTCTGCTACATTGTACCATTGGTTCATGTAAGTTTTATTTACATTGTGGTATGAGAAAATAAAAATTTATTATTATTATTATTATTAATTTGGTCTGAAAGACATCAGGTCGTCGCACGCTTATCCTACGTGTGCGGTGTCTGCCTAGTGCTAAGCTAGTGTGCAAGTATGCTAGCTGTGTAGTGTTGTTGCTTGTGGCCTGTGTGGGAGTCAGAGGCGCGTTGGCGCAGGTGATTTCGTCGTCGGGGTACTCTTAGACGTGCCTAGGCCGACGGAATCGGAGGGACCTACGATTGCCGTCAAGCAGCTGTTGCTGCGGTCGCGCGATGGTCACACTGTTGGCGGAGTATAGTGTTTTTTTTTATGTTATAGGGGGCATACGAGCAGACGGCTCACCTGATGGTAAGTGATCACCATTGCCTATGGACACTTGTAACACCAGGAGTATCACAAATGCGATGCCGGCCTTTAAGGAAGGAGTACGCTCCTTTTTTGAAGGTTCTTGGGTCGTATTGGTCCGGAAACACTGCTGGCGTCAACATATTCCACAGTTTTTTCGTACGTGGTAAAACAATTTCGACAAAAACGCACGGTTGTGGATAGCCACGCATCAAGATGATGGGGATGAAATTTTTGTCGCGATGTACGATTGCGAAATGCAGCAGCTGGAATGAATCCGAACAATTCCTCAGAACACTCCCCGTGATAAATGCGATAGAAGATGCAGAGCGAAGCTACATCCCTACGTAAAGCCAAAGGATCAAGCTGATCGGAAAGGTCCTGGTCGTCGACGATTCGAGCCGCTCGGCGCTGGATGCGATCCAAAGGGAGAAGCTGGTACTGGGCTGCCCCCGCCCAAAGATGAGAGCAGTACTCCATGTGAGGCCGAACCTGTGCCTAAATGTAGTAGTGTTGCCCAAATGCAAGAACAAGACGAGAATTGGCAAGTCTTGGTCTTGGTATTGCGCTCCCAGTCTTGGTCCTGGTCTTGCGGCAAATCTCACAATTAACTATTAGCCTTTAAACGTTACTTTTGATGTTAGAAAAACATTTTGAGCTTTATTTAACATAGCCATAATAAAGACTAATCCAAGTAAAAAATATCATATATGAGAGGCGTGAAGAAGCATTTTTGCAGGCCGGCAAGGTGAGGATGGTTGGTGTGGCAGTTTATAACTGCTGTACCAGCTATCTTCGCGTTTGGACTTTATCACCACTTAACATCAAGTGGGGTAGAGTCATTTGCCTACCTGGCTATATAAAAAATGGGTGCGTGTACTTATGTAGGCGCGTGAGAAGTTATCCTTCTTTGGCATCGTTTAAAATTAGTTTTTAATTGCATGCAAATAATTAATTACAATAAATTAATAAAAAGTCTGGAAAAGGACACAGTCAATAAAGTTCAGTTTTAATTTGAAAAAATAAATAAATAATCAAAATATTCAATTAAAATCGCTACTGAATATAATTTATTAGAACATATGTGATTTGCACTTGTATGAAACTCAAACACGTATTCCGAATATACAAACTAGAAACATGTGGATAAATATTATAAATATGAATACCTATATTTGTTACTTTATTACAAAAAATAAAGATGTGGTTTTTGGTTCTACTACACCAATGGTCAAGAGATGGCGCTGTAGTCTCCTGAATCGGGCTTTGGTTCCGTTGTTCCAGATTAATAAATACTTTTGATAGGCCTTCACAATGCAGTCGTTAGCACCCACTAAATAGAGATTCTAATTCTATTTTGTTGGTAGATTTTCTTAATGTCCGGTAAACACAAAAGTAACAGCATGTCGCTAAAGCGACCAACTTCATGCTGTTAATTTTTGTGTTACAGTGATGCGCGCGCATCTTAAAATTTCACTCTCATCATTTTTTCATAACGCGCCTAAAGAAGTATAACTTCAAAAAAAATCTAAACATTTAATGAGAAATTCGTAAAATCAACTGACACACTCAGAATTTTATCCAATTTAAGTTTTATAAACGAGCGCTGAAAGTTCATATTAGAGGGGATATGTACGTATAATTTGTTTGTAAATAGTAATATAATAACTATGGAATTCCTTGCCTGAGCCCTTGTTCCCCGAGCACTACAATCTAGCGGTCTTCAAAGCAAGAGTGAACCGGTTTTTATTAGGTAAGCGCGCTCCATCGTAGACCATAATATTGCTTTCCATCAGGCGAATTATGGTCAAGCGCTTACCTATTACCGAATAAAAAAAAAAATAGTAATACAGCTTTTTTCATCTGTAAACTTTGTAAGCAATACGTAGTTCTACATCACACCTTAACATTATACATTATCTACCTGTATAATAGGCTAGTTGACACTTTTTGGAAATATGTTTTAAATGGTAATAATTGTTCAATTAGACCGAAAAAAAATGTATTGTAATTTTTTTTTTACCTAGAAAGCTACAAAACTTTAATTTTAAAATAGATTTTTCATGGACATACAAAAACGCTGTCGGCCATTTTAGTCCATAGATTATCTATGGTATGACGGGAACAATAGTAAACAAACACTCACAAGCACGTAGGATATAACCTATCTGAATTTACATTACAAAACCATGATTTCTAATAGATTTCATGATAAATATAGTAATTATCATGATTGTATTATACGAGAATAAAGAAACTCATCGTTAAAAACTCCAGAAATGTTGTGGTTTCAATTTTAAAGGTTATGAATGTAACTGCTAAGTCAAAGAGTTTTGTCGTTTCTGCTTTCACAAATCCGGCGTCCAGCATTAATTTAGTTAAGAAAACCAATAAACGGAAACTTTTCTTCAAGATATAAGAGTTTTTAGATATATTTTAGTCGGACGAAAGAAACCACAGTAAAACGACAATGACGTTTAGTTGTTTGCTATTATGTTGACGTCACAATCATGGTGGACAGCGTTTTTAGTGTTTAAAAAGCATAGACTAAAAAACTATTTTACAAATTAAATTACTACAGCCATCTTCTAATTTTATGAAGTGAAATCGATGTATTTAGGTTCCTCATACCAAAAATTATAAGAAATAAACATTTGTATAGTGCAATTTGACATGAGTCAACTAGCCTATTCTTAAATAAAACTAGTTTCAACGGTAATGATTAACTGATTTATCTGTTTTTTGACGCTTCGCATTCATTTCGGGCTGCGTCGTCACAATTATTTTATTTGTATAATTCTTTAAATCTAAAGAAAATATAACTAGAAAAAATTCCACGCGGACCAGGCAGCAGACGGGACTCGAACCCGCACCCTTCGCAATCCGGGCGAATGCACTGACCAATTATGCTACCGCGGCCCTCACGGACCGCGTCGAAATTCTTTCTAGCTATTCTTAAGCTGCAAGGCAGCGCCATCTCTTCGCATTATAGGTAAACCCACAATATAATATAATATATGTATAATGAATAAACTAGGAACATATTATTTGTTTGCTAAACTTGATAGGTAGTTTATTTAATAAGTACTTACATATATGCTGATCAATAATGAACTCTATGTTGTTTGACATAGAGACCGGCAGTGCGGCAGAGGCTCGCAGGCGGCGTGCACCGCTGGTGAGGCAGCCATCGCTGGACACCGTATGTACCAACGTCACTAGTGCTGACGAGTTCGTCTGGGTCGACTCGCACAACAGGTACCTAAACACATTCTTTAAAATTCCATATAAGGTAATTCAGTGACACTGCGCGTACGCAACCGCCCGGTATCCAAGATCAATAGGGGTGATGACGGGGTACAGTAAACGAAATTCTATTTAGTCCGTCAGTTAGATGATCAAAAAATTCTTTGGGCAATCAACCATAAAATGACAAAGTTGTAGCGCGTCTAAGTTTGGGAGTAGGGGCTCGTGACGTCACTTTTGAGTGTAGTTTAGTGAATTTTCACTTATAAGTGTACTCAAACATGACGTCATGCGACTTTTCATATCAATATTGCTCTGCAATGTTTATATTATGTGAAAAAAGAAAAAATAAGTGTCCAATACTTTTTGATAATCTACATGATAAACAAAGAAAAAAAAATTAGTCATCATCCCTATTGGCCAAGACTAGCTCCAGTTTGCATAGAGAGTAAAGAGCCAGATTCGATTCGTTTCTGGATTGTTTGAATTAATTTAATCATAGTCTTACTGTAAACTCTTGCTGTTAAATATTTGTCGCGATGCCGACGATATGTTTTATGTGATGCTCACAATGACATATACATGACGAAAGACATTCGTAACTACTCGGCTCTCTTCGACTTTATTCGGCTAGCACCCTTTACTTTAGCTAGCAAATGGCGTCAATTCTGGCGTGATTCTCTAAACTTAGAACTAAATTTAACATCAGTCTCTCCTTTTCATTCTGTACAGAGAATGACAAGGATACACTATTGTCAAATTAAGTTTTAGGTTTAGAGAAACATGCCAGAATCGACACCAATGTATCAGTAACTAAACGAGTCCATGATAGCTAATCATAGATTAAAACAAAAATGGAAGATACGGTACGCTCATACTAGCTTCAAATAAAATATGAACCAACACAACCACATAGGCAACTCTCACACAGGCACACATCTGTAAATAAACATTCAATCGAGCGAGCGAGACAGAACTGTACGCTTCAACGCAGCGCGAGCGAAACGGCGAGTCCGCTGCCGAGTCCGTACGGCTGAGATGTGTTGTTGTCCTTTTCTTGATAACAAAATGGCGATTACGTAAATAACATTCACGACAAACAGCGATTTTTGAGAAAAAAATGTGTTTACAGTTTTATGAATGACAAGTGTTGCTAGGCATTTGTTATTTGATTTTGAACCATTTGTGTTCTTTCTAAGCGTCGCCGCACACGGGCCACCCACCACAACCACAAAAAGCCGCCACCGGCATATTTCTTGTAGTTTTCATACAATTTATATGGACTCGCCACACACGGTACGCCGGTGGCCGCCACACGCTACAAATCGCCGTTGCTCGCTTCTTGTGGCCCACACCGGCCACTTGATGCGCCGATACAAAACGCCGCCACACGTCACTCGCGCGATTCCCCTCCCCTCTCTCCCTTGCCTTTGTCGGCTGCTGTCGCGAGCTTCAGCCACTTTAGTAGCCGCTTCTAGCATCTCGTGGCGGCGTGGCTGTGGCGTGTGACCCGTGTGCGGCGACACTAAAAGCATCAAAGGCATTGCTTTAACACAGAATATACGCAATATTGTTATATTGAGTGCACATGCAGCGTGTTTGAATGTCTAATTGTGACTAAAGCGAATTGTGGTCATGCACCACAATTTAAGCGGGTCACTTTTGAGCCGCGAGTGCCTTATCTTCCCTTTTTGTTTTAATCCAAGTAGCTGATCAATAAATAATTCTATGACAAGCGACCTCTATGCTCTACTCAGTACTTCCATCCTATCCTATCTAATGACGACCTCCGTGGCCGAGTGGTTTGTACGCCGGGTTTCATGGTGTCGCCGACTCGAGAGGTCCCGGGTTCGAATCCCGGTGGGGGCAGATGTTTGTGTGATGAACACGAGCATTTGTACTCCAGTCATGGATGTTTAATATGTATTTCTATATAAATATACTTATATATGTACAGTATATATATTCTATCGGTTACCCTAGTATCCCATAACACAAGCCATAAAATGCTTACTTTGGGGCTAGGCTAATTGGTGTGAGTGTTGGAAATATTTATTTATTTTTTATTTTATTTTATCCTGAGAATGGTTCAAACGTGCAAATATGTCTGTCCCAGGCTAGTTGAGCTACGCTGCGTGCCATGGACGGGCGGGGAGGTGAGCCGCGCGCTGCAGGTAGGCCGCTGCAAAGAGGTTGCGCACAAGATGGCGCCCGACGCCCCGCCGAGACTGGCGTACTTGTTGCAGAGGTGAGATCGGACATGGAAAACGCACTGAGAACACTTGCATCATCATCAGCCTATTAATGTTCCCACTCAGTGGCGGCGCTAGGCGTCGGCGACGTCGGCCACCGCCTTGCAAAAAATTTTTACTAGTTACCTATTTATTTTCGTTTCTCCTGGTCTGGCTTAGGTAGCCGACCTCGAACAATTCGGGGAAAAGCTAAGCAGATGATAATGACTTTTATTATTTTCGAACACGTGCGTGATGGAAGCGAGTAGTACTTTACGGGTATTCAGAATCGTCTGTCTGGCAACACTATTTTAGTAATTAAATTTCTAGATTTGTAATTATTTTTTGTCATCATTTGATTATCAACAATAAAAATCGTTTACATTATTTTAAAATTTGGCTCACTTAATTTAACGGATTTTACTTCGAATTAAAATAGGCCTCGCGAACTTCATGTCGCCGACCTCCATATGTGGTCTAGCGCCGCCACTGTCCCCACTGCTGGGGCACAGACCTTCCCTATGGATGGAATAGGGAGATTGGGCCATGATCCACCTTGCGGGCCCAGTGCGGATAGGTGGGTGCTAACGACTGCAGATGCAACCGGGACCAACGGCTTAACGTGCCTTCCGAAGCACGAAGGAACTCGAGATAGTACATTTTTGGTCACCCATCCAATGACCGACCATTGCGAAAGTTGCTTAACTTCAACGATCGCAGCCGAACGCGCTAACCATGGCCATCGAGCTCCTCAACTTGTCGCGCACAAGATGGCGCCCGACGCCCCGCCGAGACTGGCGTACTTGTTGCAGAGGTGAGATCGGACATAGAAAACGTACTGAGCACACTTGCATGAAATTCAATATCAATGGGCAGAAAAATGTGAAAAAGACAAAGCGTTCGAGCGACCGATACTTCACGTTGGACGACTGGTTAAGAATAATTCCATTCTCCCTGTCTTTGGTATATAAATACTAAAAAATCGTAGCTGGTATCTTAGCCAAAATAATTCAAATCAAACTTTCTTCTGAAGAAAGTAATCCTTTCCATATTGCTACTATGTACAAACCGCGTTTTTGTCCTCGATATTTCGGTAACAATTCGGTAAAATTAAAAGTGTCATGATGACGGAGTGATATTGGGGCCTCGTAAAATAAAAGGCACTGGTATGAAGTTTTGTCTGTATTCTTGAATTTCGCTCAAAGTTTTCCCCAATAATCCAGGACCTTGATTTTTATCGACTTGGTATCTGGATTTTCCACTTTGGAATTACTGACAAGAAATTGGATTAGTTACGCGAGAATATTTCTTTTTCAGGGCATTAGTGAGGATATCCCGCGAGGCGCAGCGCCTCTCGCAGAACTTCGGGTTCTGTTCTAAGCACGAGGTAGTTGGCGCCTTCAAGATAGTGCTCAGCACGCCGCTAGCTGACGCTTGTATCAAAGTACGAGGATTTTTACAACTTTAAACAACTTTTTTTTTGTTAAGTTCTTGCTTTTCAGGGAAGGCAAAGGGAACAATGCCCATACAGCCTAGTCTTAAGTTAAATTATTCACACTCGATGAAATCCGGTTAAAAAAAAAAACACTAAAAACAATAAAAATCCTTTTTTTTATAATTTTTGTATTTATAAGTCCAAGCAAATGTTAAGTGACTTTGGAATCCAGACGTGGAGGAAATTGGTGCTGTACTTTCACCTGCCACACCTGTTTTTTCACGGCAGTCATGTTTTGTCATAATTATACAATTAAACGCAAGAAGTGCAACCGTTTCATGCTGCTATAATTTCTAACTTACATACTATGGATTACCTGGCAAATTATATTTTTGTACGGCATTGTATATTAGATCTTCTACATATTTCATAAGGAGGTCCAGAGCGCAGTGGTTAGTGTGAATCGATTTAAGGATTGTAAAAGTTAATCGCTCTACCCTACACGCCCTACACGGTCATAGAATGAAGGCCATTGTAAAAATACAATGACCTTCATTCTATGAGCGTGTAGGACGGCCAAAGGGAAAGATCTTCCTCCGAGCTGGGTGATGGTAGCTCGGTGGCCGCAGCCCGACTGATGTTGGTCGGGCATCGTATATACGAACTGTTGGCTACCGAATTTTACTTGCGCGATGTAGGCTTCCTTACGTTGTGAACGCAGCGCCGGTAGTGCCATCTCTTGAGGAGGCGTAAGATTGTTTCCTCTATGTTCATTATATGTGGGGCATGTAGATGTCGCCGCCACAAGCGTTTTGTTAAACATGGTATTGCACGATTAGAGCACAGCCACTGTCATTATTTATTCTCTTTATTTGGTGGTGTTGTCCGTTTATAAATGTTAATTCTGTGTTTTATCAGGGATGCCAGCGCGCGGCGACGATGTACGCGACGGGCGGCGCGGCGGCGCGGCGACTCGGGTCAGCGGCGCGCGCCCGCACCAGCCTCGCGCCCGGACGCTTCCAGCGCTGGATGCTGGACGTGCGCGTCGCTCCCTTCGTGCACGAGTCAGTATAGCGCCAGTCATTGTTAGTGGCGGCACCAGCCTCGCGCCCGGACGCTTCCAGCGCTGGATGCTGGACGTGCGCGTCGCTCCCTTCGTGCACGAGTCAGTATAGCGCCAGTCATTGTTAGTGGCGGCACCAGCCTCGCGCCCGGACGCTTCCAGCGCTGGATGCTGGACGTGCGCGTCGCTCCCTTCGTGCACGAGTCAGTATAGCGCCAGTCATTGTTAGTGGCGGCACCAGCCTCGCGCCCGGACGCTTCCAGCGCTGGATGCTGGACGTGCGCGTCGCTCCCTTCGTGCACGAGTCAGTATAGCGCCAGTCATTGTTAGTGGCGGCACCAGCCTCGCGCCCGGACGCTTCCAGCGCTGGATGCTGGACGTGCGCGTCGCTCCCTTCGTGCACGAGTCAGTATAGCGCCAGTCATTGTTAGTGGCGGCACCAGCCTCGCGCCCGGACGCTTCCAGCGCTGGATGCTGGACGTGCGCGTCGCTCCCTTCGTGCACGAGTCAGTATAGCGCCAGTCATTGTTAGTGGCGGCACCAGCCTCGCGCCCGGACGCTTCCAGCGCTGGATGCTGGACGTGCGCGTCGCTCCCTTCGTGCACGAGTCAGTATAGCGCCAGTCATTGTTAGTGGCGGCACCAGCCTCGCGCCCGGACGCTTCCAGCGCTGGATGCTGGACGTGCGCGTCGCTCCCTTCGTGCACGAGTCAGTATAGCGCCAGTCATTGTTAGTGGCGGCACCAGCCTCGCGCCCGGACGCTTCCAGCGCTGGATGCTGGACGTGCGCGTCGCTCCCTTCGTGCACGAGTCAGTATAGCGCCAGTCATTGTTAGTGGCGGCACCAGCCTCGCGCCCGGACGCTTCCAGCGCTGGATGCTGGACGTGCGCGTCGCTCCCTTCGTGCACGAGTCAGTATAGCGCCAGTCATTGTTAGTGGCGGCACCAGCCTCGCGCCCGGACGCTTCCAGCGCTGGATGCTGGACGTGCGCGTCGCTCCCTTCGTGCACGAGTCAGTATAGCGCCAGTCATTGTTAGTGGCGGCACCAGCCACGCGCCCGGACGCTTCCAGCGCTGGATGCTGGACGTGCGCGTCGCTCCCTTCGTGCACGAGTCAGTATAGCGCCAGTCATTGTTAGTGGCGGCACCAGCCTCGCGCCCGGACGCTTCCAGCGCTGGATGCTGGACGTGCGCGTCGCTCCCTTCGTGCACGAGTCAGTATAGCGCCAGTCATTGTTAGTGGCGGCACCAGCCTCGCGCCCGGACGCTTCCAGCGCTGGATGCTGGACGTGCGCGTCGCTCCCTTCGTGCACGAGTCAGTATAGCGCCAGTCATTGTTAGTGGCGGCACCAGCCTCGCGCCCGGACGCTTCCAGCGCTGGATGCTGGACGTGCGCGTCGCTCCCTTCGTGCACGAGTCAGTATAGCGCCAGTCATTGTTAGTGGCGGCACCAGCCTCGCGCCCGGACGCTTCCAGCGCTGGATGCTGGACGTGCGCGTCGCTCCCTTCGTGCACGAGTCAGTATAGCGCCAGTCATTGTTAGTGGCGGCACCAGCCTCGCGCCCGGACGCTTCCAGCGCTGGATGCTGGACGTGCGCGTCGCTCCCTTCGTGCACGAGTCAGTATAGCGCCAGTCATTGTTAGTGGCGGCACCAGCCACGCGCCCGGACGCTTCCAGCGCTGGATGCTGGACGTGCGCGTCGCTCCCTTCGTGCACGAGTCAGTATAGCGCCAGTCATTGTTAGTGGCGGCACCAGCCTCGCGCCCGGACGCTTCCAGCGCTGGATGCTGGACGTGCGCGTCGCTCCCTTCGTGCACGAGTCAGTATAGCGCCAGTCATTGTTAGTGGCGGCACCAGCCTCGCGCCCGGACGCTTCCAGCGCTGGATGCTGGACGTGCGCGTCGCTCCCTTCGTGCACGAGTCAGTATAGCGCCAGTCATTGTTAGTGGCGGCACCAGCCTCGCGCCCGGACGCTTCCAGCGCTGGATGCTGGACGTGCGCGTCGCTCCCTTCGTGCACGAGTCAGTATAGCGCCAGTCATTGTTAGTGGCGGCACCAGCCTCGCGCCCGGACGCTTCCAGCGCTGGATGCTGGACGTGCGCGTCGCTCCCTTCGTGCACGAGTCAGTATAGCGCCAGTCATTGTTAGTGGCGGCACCAGCCTCGCGCCCGGACGCTTCCAGCGCTGGATGCTGGACGTGCGCGTCGCTCCCTTCGTGCACGAGTCAGTATAGCGCCAGTCATTGTTAGTGGCGGCACCAGCCTCGCGCCCGGACGCTTCCAGCGCTGGATGCTGGACGTGCGCGTCGCTCCCTTCGTGCACGAGTCAGTATAGCGCCAGTCATTGTTAGTGGCGGCACCAGCCTCGCGCCCGGACGCTTCCAGCGCTGGATGCTGGACGTGCGCGTCGCTCCCTTCGTGCACGAGTCATGCAAGTCATTGTTAGTGGCTGCAGAGTAGTAAGCACTAGTTGCGACGATGCATGGGCTAGGATCGATGCGGCGGCAGGATCATCTGCGTGTATTACGTACTGTAGGGATCTTCGCCTGTGACAATTCTAGAGGAAATCTCAGTGACAGGAGCAACTCAAATAAGTATGAAATGGACTTCTTGAATAGCATAAGATTGGTATTCTAATTCAGACTTTTTTTCAATATTTTTTTGGATGACCTCCGTGGCCGAGTGGTTTGTACGCCGCTCGAGAGGTCCCGGGTTCAAATCCCGGTGGGGGCAGATGTTTGTGTGATGAATACGAGCATTTGTACTCCAGCCATGATGGCTGTTTAATATGTATTTCTATATAAATGTATTTATTTATGTACCGTATATGTATTCTATCCGTTACTCTAGTACCCATAACACAAGCCTTACAGTGCTTACTTCGGGGCTGGGCTAATTGGTGTGAGTGTTGGAAATATTTATTTATTTAATATGCTGTAGACACATTTACAGCCTACTAACTACTATTCTGATCAACAGATACGCCGCGATCTATTTATGCGCGGGCATGGAGACGCTGCTCGAGGAGATCGCCCTGATCGCCGGCAGCAACGCTGGCAGTGGGCCCATCACGCCGGCAGCCATCGACCACGCCGTCGCCACATGCGCCGACCTATGGGGGCTGCTGCAGCCCTACAGCCACCTAAACGCCGGCAGGATCGCGTCTGGTGAGTACCCACTGTATTATTTATACACACTGAACGAAAAGACTTCGCTGTCGCCCCCTCCGCCGACCTGTGGGGGCTGCTGCAGCCCTACAGCCACCTTAACGCCGGCAGAGTCGCGTCTGGTGAGTACCCACTGTATTATTTATACACACTGATCGGAAAGACCTCGCCGTCGCCACCTGCGCTGATCTATGGAGGCTGCTGCAGCCCTACAGCCACCTTAACGCCGGCAGGGTCGCGTCTGGTTAGTGTCAACTGTATTGCATATAGACGTTGCTTAAGGAGACCTCGCCGTCACTACGCAGTATGCGTATGGGGGCTGTTGCAGCCATACAGTCATCTCAACGCAGGCAGGGCCGCATCTGTTTAGTGCAAACTGTATTAGATGGAGATGCTACTCGAGGAGACTTCGCTGTCACCCTCTTCGCCGACATGTGGGGGCTGCTGCAGCCATACAGCTGTGGCGGCGACATCTGTATGCCCCACAGATATACAACGGATGTAGGAAATCATTACTCACCATCCTCAAGAGATGGCGTTACCTGCACTGCGATCAATAATAGTATGGAAGCCTACATCGCGCAAATGAAATTCGGAGGTTAACTCTTCATATATACCTACGATGCCCGACCAACATCAGTCAGCTAGCATCACTCAGCTCGGAGGAAGATCTTCCCCTTTGGCCTTCCTCAACGACGGTAGGGTTGAGTCTGATAAATAGCCACTGCATCACAACATGCAGATCATGCAGCTATCTTACTTCTAGACTCCTGCCTTTTGAAAAGAGATAATAGATGACAGATTTTCACCTCTAATTTATATCCCCTTTCTTCAATTCACATAAAACTGCAGATACGTAATTTATTAGTGTGACAAATTAGGAATTAAACTAGCAAACCAGTGAACCAAATGTTCACCAAAACCTGAATAAAAAAAAAATATGTATTTAATTAATTGAGAACTTCGGAGATTTTGTGTGGTTTCGTTTGAAATTCGTGATTTCTCGAAAACCGGAAGTGCTACGTTACTCAAATCCGGTTTGTAGTCTTATCAGACTATTCTTAACTTAAACATTCTCTTTATCTATCTCTTACGGTTTGGCCGCTGAAACAGCACCACAGACGGACGGACGGACGGACTTGTCTAATAGATAAGAGATTAAATTCCGTACCATTCCACCAGTGTACAGGCTAGTTTGGTCAGGCGTCAGTAGCACAGTTTTCAGTACTCCCTGAGGTACTCGGAACTCAGTCCAGAATGAGCAGGTGAAGATAGCCAATAGCTATAGCATTTATTTGTTTAAAAGAAACAAGTTTCATTAGAATATAAGAAAAGTGATTGATATCAACAATGGTGTCGATTCTGGCATGATTTTCTAAACCTAAACTTAAATTCGACCACAGTGTATCCTTGTCATAGACTGTACAGAATGACAAGGAGAGACTGATGTTAAATTTAGAGAGTTATGCCAGAATCGACACCATTAACAAATTAGCTATAACATTACCTAAATTTTATAGTAATTTTTTTTCTAACTTAGGAGCATTGTCACTGTCGCGTTGGGAGTCTATGAGTTCGCTGGGATCTGGGTCGTCGTCGGGAGTGGCACGCCCGGAGAACAGGCAGCTTGGACTCAGTCATGACTCCGGTATCACCACTAATGGATCCGGTAAGTTCAATGATTCACCAATATCATACATGCTCATTCATAGCGGTAAACTAAGGAAAGGCTTAAAAAGACAGGTTCATAGCAATTAAAGGCTGTAGTGGTCGTTACGTGGACCCTCACGACTGTCAATATGTCAATTAGTCACTGGACGATCGTCGGGAGATAATTATCAAAAAACGTCAATATGATGTGAATGCCTTTATTGCACTGTCATATAATGTAAAATATTGTTCTTAAAACAATTAGTGAGTCAACTGTGTCAGCTGTTTAGAGTGCATCGACTTGGAATGCAAACATAATAAAATACTAGCAAACCAGTGAACCAAATGTTCACCAAAAAAAAAAAATGTATTTAATTAATTGAGAACTTCGGAGATTTTGTGTGGTTTCGTTTTAAATAGAAATCACGTGATTTCTCGAAAACCGGAAGTGCTACGTTACTCGCATTCGGTTTGTACTCTTATCAGACTATTCTCAACTTATAACTTAAACATTCTCTTTATCTATCCCTTACGGTTTGGCCGCTGAAACAGCACCACGGACGGACGGACGGACGGACGGACTTGTCTAATAGATAAGAGATAATTAAAATAGCTTGTACAAATGCAAATTATCCACACGATTAGAACTTAGCTCCTTTTGTTGTCTACATTTTAAGATAGAAATTTCCCGCCCTAACCTAACCACGTACCAGGGCTCCGTGATATTTTTCGCAAGGCTATGGTAGTCGCATAGAATAGTCATATGCTTGTTTGCCGCTTTACACATAGAAAAAATATAATTGTGTGTGTCAGCTCCGACGCACAACCGGAGTTTACACTCTAAAAACGATTGTCTTTGAACAGACACAAAACAAAATCAAGTCCGAAGAAGTCGGTTACAAGTAGAGATACCTCAGGAATCGTCCCATGGTTTCGACTATCATAGGTTCCATGTCACACATTTTATCATCTAACATGAGCGATATTCATCATATATTTTGTTATGTATTTCTGGAAACACACAATTTCAAAAATATCACACACTAGTCATCATTTTGTAAATATGTATTATAATTCCATCTGTACTGAAAATCACTATTCCAGAGTGCTGGACACTTACCGGCATTTCTCTATATTCTGTTATTTATTTGTTTTCATTAATTTTGCTCCGATTTTATCTATTTTTAGTTTATTTATTTTATTGACATTTGTGACAACTTAATGTTTTTTATCCGTTGCCATGGCTAAAAGTGAAAGGTGCGCAGATGAGGTTGCGCACAAAAACTTAACGAGGTCATTAATGTCATTCATCGATAGATTTTATCCCTCACATTTTTCTCATACCGGGCCCCTTATATATGCAAATCGATTCTTAAGGAGTAAACTCCAAAAACATTTCTCATTATGAAACATTCTGCTGAAAAGTTTTCCCTGACGCCAGCCCTACACCACTAGGCCGGAATGCGCTCAGGCTCGATCGATACGCGCTCGTCTTTTCTCGGAAAGCTTTTTCAAATGCGGAACACAGTCATGACATATCTCTTGCTCTATCTGCATTAAAACACACTTTTCGACTGTATCCCCTCACCATAAAGTCAAATATCGAACGAAGAAACAAAAACGTAACGAGGTCATATGTTCAGTAGATTTTACTCCTCATATTTTTCTCATACCGGGCCCCTAATATATGCAAATCGATTCTTAAGGAGTAAACTCCAAAAAACCGTATTAACATAGAATAGCCATATATATAATAGTGTATGATCTTTTATCATAATATGTGTTTTACCTATAAGTATAATATGTGTATTGCCTTGTTACGCCTCAACAAGCTTTTTGTTTCTACTGGATACTTATTTTTATTTTATTTTATTTTATTATTTGTGTAATGTACAACATATTTTTCTTTTAGTACAGAAAAAGAATAATAGAAATATAAATAAAACAAAACAATCCTAGTGTTAATCTGTGAATAATGTTGTTGGTTGTACAATAAGTATAACATAATTGTAAGCCTTTCACTTAACATATATTGTACAACTGTTTGTTATCCCTAATAAAAAAAAATAAAAAAAATGGGTGCGTGTACTTATGTAGGCGCGTGAGAAGTTATCCTTCTTTGGCATCGTTTAAAATTAGTTTTTAATTGCATGCAAATAATTAATTACAATAAATTAATAAAAAGTCTGGAAAAGGACACAGTCAATAAAGTTCAGTTTTAATTTGAAAAAATAAATAAATAATCAAAATATTCAATTAAAATCGCTACTGAATATAATTTATTAGAACATATGTGATTTGCAATTCTATGAAACTCAAACACGTAATCCGAATTTACAAACTAGAAACATGTGGATAAATATTATAAATATGAATACCTATAACTGTTACTTTATTACAAAAAATAAAGATGTGGTTTTTGGTTCTACTACACCAATGGTCAAGAGATGGCGCTGTAGTCTCCTGAATCGCGCTTTGGTTCCGTTGTTCCAGATTAATAAATACTTTTGATAGGCCTTCACAATGCAGTCGTTAGCACCCACTAAATAGAGATTCTATTTCTATTTTGTTGGTAGATTTTCTTAATGTGCGGTAAACACAAAAGTAACGCATGCTGTTAAAATTTTGTGTTACAGTGATGCGCGCGCATCTTAAAATTTCACTCTCATAATTTTTTCATAACGCGCCTAAAGAAGTAAAACTTCAATAAACATAAAAAATATACGTTCGCAGGTGGTTCCGGCGGTTCAGGTACATCAGCCGGATCGGGCGGGTCGGGCGCGGCGTCGGTGCTACTGACTACGTGTGCGGGCTCAGCTGCGGAGCTCCGCGCCGTGCTTCGCCGGCTCAGCCCGCGGGCTCCCCCTCTATCCCCCGCGGCTGAGCGCGCACTGTACTACTTCATGCGGTGTTCACAGGTTATCATCATTAAGTCAATAAGTTTTTAACTATGTTTTATATCTGTATATATGTTAGACTTTAAGGTATGTATCTATGGGCCTACGTTGCCTGACTGTAAATTAATAAATAAAATAAAAAATAAAAATAAATTAGCCCATCAGTCATCCAAATGGAAACAGCAGATATCATACATGGACACATGCTCCAAAACGCGAGCCCAATGTGGTTACCGAGTAATAAAATTAATTTTTGGTCACCCATCCGATGACCGGCCATTGCTACAGTTGTTTAACTAATTTTAGTACGCTCCTACCATTTACGTTATCAGGCTCCTCAAGTTTCGTTCGCAAAAAGCGTAAAAACGATAGATTTCGTAATATAACTTTATATTTTAGTTTTTTAATTAGTTGTCTTCCTACAGATTATTAGCTATACGTAACACTCGAAACACGATCTCGAAAGTCACTAAGTGTGAGGGCTCCAAGTCTATTTCGTTAGAATCCGTTTACCTTTTATTTTACCTATTAAAATAATACTAGCAAACCAGTGAACCAAATGTTCACCAAAAAAAAAATAAAATAAAAATGTATTTAATTAATTGAGAACTTCGGAGATTTTGTGTGGTTTCGTTTGAAATTCATGATTTCTCGAAAACCGGAAGTGCTACGTTACTCACATCCGGTTTGTAGTCTTATCAGACTATTCTCAACTTATAACTTAAACATTCTCTTTATCTATCTCTTACGGTTTGGCCGCTGAAACAGCACCACAGACGGACGGACGGACTTGTCTAATAGATAAGAGATATTCTTTTCTGCCTCCCAGTTGGAGCACAGCAGCGGCGCGTCGGGCGGCAGTTGCGGCGCGCCGGCGTCATCGGGCGGGGGGCTGTGGGGCGAGCGCGGCGCCGGCGCCCTCCCCCCCCTCGGGGAGTGGGTGCGGGCCGTGCGCGCGCACGCCTCCCTGCGGCCCCCGCCCGCCGCGCCCGACGCCGACGACGTGCTGCAGGCCGCGCGCCTGCTGCTGCCGCATGCCGACTGCCCGCCCCGCCCCGTCACGTCAGTACACCCCCCCTACATCCTATATATACACTAGTGGCCGCGCCCGACGCCGACGACGTGCTGCAGGCCGCGCGCCTGCTGCTGCCGCATGCCGACTGCCCGCCCCGCCCCGTCACGTCAGTACACCGCCCCTACACCCTATATATACACTAGTGGCCGCGCCCGACGCCGACGACGTGCTGCAGGCCGCGCGCCTGCTGCTGCCGCATGCCGACTGCCCGCCCCGCCCCGTCACGTCAGTACACCGCCCCTACATCCTATATATACACTAGTGGCCGCGCCCGACGCCGACGACGTGCTGCAGGCCGCGCGCCTGCTGCTGCCGCATGCCGACTGCCCGCCCCGCCCCGTCACGTCAGTACACCGCCCCTACATCCTATATATACACTAGTGGCCGCGCCCGACGCCGACGACGTGCTGCAGGCCTCGCGCCTGCTGCTGCCGCATGCCGACTGCCCGCCCCGCCCCGTCACGTCAGTACACCGCCCCTACATCCTATATATACACTAGTGGCCGCGCCGGACGCCGACGACGTGCTGCAGGCCGCGCGCCTACTGCTGCCGCATGCCGACTGCCCGCCCCGCCCCGTCACGTCAGTACACCGCCCCTACATCCTATATATACACTAGTGGCCGCGCCCGGCGTCGACGACGTGCTGCAGGCCGACTACCCGCCAAAACCCGTCACGTTAGTAAACCTCCCCTACATCCTTTATATACACTAGTGGCTGTGCCTAGCGCCGACGATGTGCTAAAGGCCGCGCGCCTACTACTGCCGCATGCCGACTGCCCGCCCCGCCCCGTCACGTCAGTACATTGGTCATCAGCAGCCTATTAATGACCTCCCTACTGGGACGCAGGCCCTCCCTATGGATGGAATAGGGAGATTGGAACACAACACACCACGCGGGCCAGCCCCCAGATTGGTGGGTGCTAACGACTGCCGATGCAGTCGGGGCAAACTGCTTCACGTGCCTTCCGATGCAAGGAGCAACTCGAAATAGTAAATTTTTGGTCACCCATCCTTTGACCGACCATTGCTAAAGTTGCTATACTTCCATGATCGTAGATTAAAGGCACTTACCACTTGCGTTATCGAGCTTCATACACGATAAATTGATAAAATTTCAAATCAAATTACAGTCTTTCTTACACTCAAATAAGACCACACGCCTCGATGGGGGCGCGCTACCCACGGGACTATAAGCCGTTTTTTGTGATAGTTAGAGCCTACTTTTGTATAAAGAAGTTTAACCATAGATTAACTTGGCGAAATGACCTATCTGTAGAGCCGTAAAGTTTTAAATAGCCCGCATAAATACTGCTTATGCGGACCCAAAGCAAAGAAAAAAATAAAAAGCCTAAAAGTCTTTTTAATAAAAAGTAAAATACCTTACTACGAAAAATTTAATTGTGTTTACTGTTTGTCATAACAGGTGACATTAGAAATTATGACAATTGTACGGGGAGCTTGTAACATAAAAACTGATAAAACTGATGGAATGGTGAAATATATGGTGTGTGGTACAGGGTCGAAGAAGCGATAGAGCCATGGTGGTCGCGGAGCCAACGTTCGTCCGAGGAGGTAGGGCGGGCGGCGCTGTCGGTGGCGCAGCGTGCTCTGTTGGGCGGGCGGCCCGAGCTGTTGGGCGGGGTGCGAGCGCTGTTGCCGCCCGCGCCACTCGACGCGCCCGACCCCGCCGGACTCACCGCACTCATGAAAGCTGCGCTCGCCGGGGATGACCACATCGTCGCCGTGAGTAGCGTTGCCATTTCTTTAAATCAGAAAAAAGTACTTCATCATCTATGATTTTATTTATTTTTTAAGCATTTAACTGCTAGATGGACGGGACGGGATTTTTTTCTAGTAAACTTTTCTTTAGATTTGTGGCGGCGACATCTATATGCCCCACATATAGACAACGGATGGAGGAAATCATTACTCACCATCCTCAAGAGATGGCGTTACCTGCACTGCGATCAATAATAGTATGGAAGCCTACATCGCGCAAATGAAATTCGGAAGCTAACTCTTCATATATACGATGCCCGACCAACATCAGTCGGGCCGCGGTCCCCGAGCTACCATCACCCAGCTCGGAGGAAGATCTTCCCCTTTGGCCTTCCTACACTGGTGACCCCGACGTGATTCCTACAGATTTAAACATCTAGCAGTTAAATGCTTAAAAAATAAATAAAACCATAACTATAATTGCTATTTATTCTTTCAAATGTTTAATACTTGAAAAAGTATTCATTTGACATTGTGGGTTACCTACAATGCAAAGAGATGGCGCTGCCTTGCAGCTTAAGGATAGGAAAATTTCGACGCGGCTAATAGGGCCGTGGTAGCATAATGGTCAGTGCATTCGCCCGGATAGCGAAGGATGCGGGTTCGTGTCCCGTCCGCTGCCTGGTCCGCGTGGATTTACTTCATCATCATCATCATCAGCCTATTAATGTCCCCACTGCTGGGGCACAGGCCTTCCCTATGGATGGAATAGGGGGATTGGGCTATGAACCAACACTGGTGGGTGGCCCAGTGCGCACTGGTGGGTGCTAACGACTTCAGATACAACCGGGACCAACGGCTTAACGTGCCTTCCGAAGCACGGAAAAGTAAAAAAAAAAGAAAAGTAAAAGTACTTACTCGCCAGAAAAGTCGGACTTCTGGTTCCCACAGCCGCTTGGATGCCAAAAAATTGTATTTTCTGACCTACAATTCAAAATAAAAATATTTTATGAAAAATTTTCAAGTGGTTTTATCACTTTTATTTGCATATTTTTCTTTGCTCATCTCGACTGATGGACCTAACGAAGTCAAATTGACCCGGACAATAGATTAAAAAAATTGTGTGTGTCAGCTCCGACGCACGACTGGAGTTTACTCCTTAAATTCGATAGTCTAACCGGACGCAAAAAGAGTTTAGTTAACTTAAAAAAGATTGATACTGTAAATGCCATATCCACATTTACTTCTAAAGCTCAATGGTTTTGTGTTCAATGAATGGCGCGGATACACCGATGCGGTTTCTTGTCGTCGTAGGCAATAAAGGTAGGCTACGATACTGTGCTACGGTGTAGCGCTACGGCTGCTACAGCGTAGACAGTAAAAACGTAACGAGGTCATTCATCGATAGATTTCACTCCTCACATTTTTCTCATACCGGGTCCCTTATATATGCAAATCGATTCTTAAGGAGTAAACTCCAAAAACCTAACACTATCCCGTTTTAACTGGACGGATGGAAACGTAAGCCGTAAGTGTACACTTTAGCGGGCAGACACAGGGCGGGCGGCCCGAACTCCAGAACGGGGAACAGCTATTGGTAGCTTTCCAATTACAGCATTATAGCGCATTATGCGGCATAATGCTTAACGTTGAGTGTTTCAACTACAGCAACGCTTCGCACAATCGAGCACTCTCAAAAGTAATGCTTTCGTGTAATGCGTGCAATCGTACCAACTCAGACACAGAAAATTAACAAGTGTTTTTTCTTTAAGTTGGCATTGATCGAAATGTTTTATTTATATGTTATCGTTAGTAATATTATTTATTGTTGAAAAATTATTAAAACTTTTGTTTTTTTTTTAAATAATCAAAGTTAATTCAAACTGTCATAAAAAATTAAATAGAAATATAGATGAAGGTACAACATTGACTTTTTTTTTTCAACACGGAACTTAGCGCACTCTGCTGGTGCATTTGAAAACTAATTCACGTTCCAATTAAGCATCAGCATAATTCTGCATTGTGCGCCACTGAGTCGCATTATGCTCTGTAATTGGAAAACCACCATTATCTACTGCAACATCTATCTTTCTCAAGTAATCTAGATAAAATTATAGTCTATACTTACATTAAAACTAATAGGGAAGATACGGTACGTTAATACTAGCATCAAATAAAATATGATCCGACTCATCTACATAAGCAACTCTCCCACGCACACGTCTGTATATAAACATTCAACCGAGAGAGCGAGACAGAACTGTAGGCTTCAACGCAGCGCGAGCGAAACGGCGAATCCGCTTCCAAATCCGTACGGCTAATCTGTATTGTTGTCCTTTTCTTGATAACAAAATGGCGATTACGTAAATAACAGTCACGACAAATCGTGATTTTTGAGAAAAAAAATGTTTTTACAGTTTTACCAATAAAAAATGTTGCCGAGGCATTTGTTATTCGATTTTGAAGTATTAGTGTTCTTTATAATAGCATCGAAGGCATTGTTTTATCTTTATAACACAGAATATAAGCAATATTTCAATGTTATATTGAGTGCACATGCAGCGTGTTTGAATGTCTAATTGTGACTAAAGCGAATTATGGTATGGGTAATGCACCACAATTTAAGCGGATCACTTTTGAGCCGCAAGTGCCGCATCTTCCCTTTTTGTTGTAATCTAAGATTCTATGTTAGTAAAGTTCTTTGGCTGAACTAGGAAAGCAGAAGTAGACGTAAATAATAAAGGCACCCGGTTCAGACGAATGACTTTTTAAAAAATCTTTAAATGCAGTTCGTATTGTCTTAAAAAATCAAATGTAATCAGAAGGCATCCAGTAAAACTTCCTCTCTACTATTTATAAGGTACTTCCCTCCTCCCCCCATGTAGCAGTTTGGGACACCCTGTAAATATATGTTCTGAAAAAAATCTCTTTAAGCCGAGAAGCGGCGAACGATCCCAATTGCGTTCCCCCCACGACAACGGCTAACTAGAGCCGAGGTCCGAGTCTCAGAGATGCCCTCTAGTTGAGCCGACCCCCTCAGGTTCAAGTGGTCAGGAGAGGAAACTCCCCCCGTGGGGAGACGCCATCCACCTGGAATACCTCCAGAGGCACTCGCCAATTCTCGGCTTGAGGTCCCCTTAGGATCTCGCTGCCCCAAACCCGGTGACGCTGTAAAGATCATCTGCGACCAACAGCATACACACTCAAAAAAAAAAGATCCCAATTGCAATGTCCACTTTTTTCTACCCAGATGCTGTTAGAATCGGGCGCAGACCCGAACATAGAATGTGGCGGCGCGTGCGGCGCTCACTGCGCCCTGCCGCTGTCACCGCGCTCCCCGCCTGCCGCGCAGCCTGCTTACACGCCACCCACCGCTGGTGAGTTCATACTATTCCATGTCTAAGAGTAACAAAGAAGGCACAGACCCTAACATCAACCTATAACCTTTTCTACCATCGCGTCGTGGTATACGGACCGGATGGCGGGATAATAATGAAGTGGAATTTGCATAGCTCTTTTTCCGTGCATAGCTCTTTCCCCGTGTATCTTGATTACCAACAAATCGTTCAGTTAATGTTTCCTAGACCTACTCAAATTTATAGAATACTAGTGCCACATAAGTTGCGCGACTCGCGCAATTCGAAGGTACCGGGTTTTGTTAAAATAGATTTTTTTAATAGCAAAGAACTACGTCCACAATATATCCTCCATCCTATCCTCCTCCAACTCCATCTACCATCTTCCGCCCGGACAGCGGTTTATATCCCATCTGAAACCTGGACCGAGTGGATTTCTTGGATTTAATTTTCTAGAAGGTTATAGATGTATTCTAAATTCTAAGACACTTCAGAGTTTACACTACAATACTCCAAAGCTCCTTCTTCGCAGTGTTTTTCATAAAATTGTTGTGATTCGTCAATGTTTTGTATTAGGCTGGACGGCGCTAGTGTTCGCGTGTGCGGGCGCGGGGTCGGGCGGCGGCGGCGCGCTGGAGTGCGCGCGCAGGTTGCTGGCGGGCGGCGCTAGAGTGGATGGCGCGCCGGCGAGAGGGGATGACGTATGCACACTGACGCCGCTGCAGGTGGGTAGTATTTGCGCGCGGGCGCGGGTCGGGCGGCGGCGCTAGAGTGGATGGCGCGCCGGCGAGAGGGGATGACGTATGCACACTGACGCCGCTGCAGGTGGGTAGTATTTGCGCGCGGGCGCGGGTCGGGCGGCGGCGCTAGAGTGGATGGCGCGCCGGCGAGAGGGGATGACGTATGCACACTGACGCCGCTGCAGGTGGGTAGTATTTGCGCGCGGGCGCGGGTCGGGCGGCGGCGCTAGAGTGGATGGCGCGCCGGCGAGAGGGGATGACGTATGCACACTGACGCCGCTGCAGGTGGGTAGTATTTGCGCGCGGGCGCGGGTCGGGCGGCGGCGCTAGAGTGGATGGCGCGCCGGCGAGAGGGGATGACGTATGCACACTGACGCCGCTGCAGGTGGGTAGTATTTGCGCGCGGGCGCGGGTCAGGGTCACATAAAAATGGTTCTAACTATGATTGACACAAAGCCATCGTGCGCCGAATAGTTTGTTTCGGCCGCAAGATGGCGTATTGGATGCAAGTGATCAATATCATGCGGGTAAAGCTCCGCGACACTCGAATAAAATTGAGTACTCTCTACCAATGCTTTTTTTCACCAGATCGCGTGTGGTGTCGGCAACTTGGAGCTGGTGCAGCTTCTCTTGTCTCACGGCGCTGACCCGTTCCTCTCTACGCAACTGAATGACGCGTTATGTTATTCGGCGGCTGCCCAATATGGATGTTATAGGTAAGATGTCTTCCACAGGACAGGCTAAGCCTAGTGAGAGGGCTAGAACTTTGTTAAATTTGCAAATAAAACATTATTATTGTTACTAAAACTTGCTTTAAATAACAAATTCAAGTTGTAGGAAGGCCAAAGGGGAAGATCTTCCTCTGAGCTAGGTTATGGTAGCTCGGGGGTCGCGGCCCAACTGATGTTGGTCGGGCATCGTATATATGAACTGTTGGCTACAGTCAGGCCGCGGACCCCGAGCTAACATGGACCAGCTTGGTGGAAGATCTTCCCCTTTGGCTTTTCTACAAAGTTATCTATTTTTACAAAGTTATTTTACTTTAATGATCGCAGCCGAACGCGCTAACCACTTGCGCGCTAGCACCGTTGACTTTTAATTGTCGGTCCGATTAGCGCGGTGGGCGTATGCTGTACGCACGGGCGGCGCGCGTGCCTGCGCGCGGTGGTGCGGGGCGGGTCGTCGCGCGGCGCGGGCGGGGCGGGCGGAGCGGGCGCGGTGCTGTCGCTGGAGGAGGTGCTGGCCGAGGGCGCGCCGCCCGCCCCACGCGCGCCCTACACCAAGCTGCAGCAGCGCGCGCTGCAGGACGCCATGTACTGCAGCGCCGAGACCGACCACCTGGGTCAGTATACGCCCTGAACACTGTATCTTTTTTTGAAGTAAAAGGACATTGGGCAAAAATGTATGGACGCTGCAGCCACGTCCGCCACGGCTTGAACTACATTTGTTTGAAAGTTATTATAGTCATGATCATCTGTGCCAAAGCGCATCAAATTCCATCCCGGGGTCTTTAGTTATTTTAAGTTGAATAGGTACAAGTACTTTAACGAACGAACATATTAATGTTAAACAAGGGAATTAATTTAGTTAGTTAGTTCGACTCTACATAGAGGGCTCAGGTATTATAGGAGTACTTCATAAGGTGCAAGGGTGCCCCCTTATGTTATTCTGCCTCGCTAGAGTAAATCCAAAAATCGCCGCATGGGTTGGGGTGTTTTCAAATATTCTGTTCGTTATAGTAAATTGTCTTCTATGTAAAAGCGACCACAAATCACACAAACTTGTCCACGCTTCGGAGAAAACATAATTCCAGTTCATCCATACTGATTAACAAAACCGATAATCGTGTTCCAATGTCCAAAGCGTGTTAGATAAAAATCAATCAAGTGACAGGGAGCGCACAATCACAACGAAGTAAGACGAATCGACTATTTGCAACTGCAAGCCCTTCAACCCCCGTAAACCGTTTTGAGGTGGCTCAGTAAATGCAAGCGCAGGATGGTGGGCAGGCTTTATCATATAACTGGTGATATAGTACGGTGGTTATTATAGTTACTAATAATATAAAATGAAGGTACTATAAAATGAATTTATTTAGCTACTTAAATATGCCCATATCTTTTGACTACCAGGATATTTTTTTACGGTGTCTAATTAAAAAAAGGCTAGTTTTTCATAGATGTAATAACATTGTTGGCGGAGCTGGATGTGTTTTGCCCATTGTCCTTTCTTTTCGGAAAACCGCCAGAACTGTGATTGACTCCCAATAATGAAACCTCACTGACGCTCCTGGCAGGAAGGTAACACGCCAAAGCTTTGTAGAAGGTAAGGTAAGGTAGATCATGAATTAGTAGGCGCACTTGAGAGAGTTCCATAAAACCTCTGATTGTACGACCAACAGTTTTATAGTTTACTAGCTGACCCAGCGAACTTCGTACCGCCCTAAAAAAATAGGGGTTGTCCAGCGGACAAAATTGTGGATCTAAACCATTCTCAGATCCCCTTGAACACACACAAAAAATTTCATCAAAATCGGTCCAGTCGTTTAAGAGAAGTTCAGTGACATACACACTCACAGAAGAATTATATATATAAAGATATTCACTACACCATCGATTTCTCGATTTCGTACGAGTGTCACATTCTCTAGGGTGTGTGTAGGGGTGACCCCCTACCTAATGATATTAGGATGAAGGAAGGAAGACAACTGTTATTGTTGAATGCATGAGGAGCATTGATTTATTATGTAAAATATGTGTTTTTATATAGTTAATACAATGACGTATTATGATGCATTTCTTAGATACAGCTACGTGATTAAAGTAGGTTATGCTTGCTCTGCAGATATACAAGATTACTGTACGTGACTCGTACAGTGTGACTCACCATATATACTCTTATATACTAGAATAATATAATCACATAAAACCGAATCCAAATACCATAGTCTTAATCAATCATAATCAAAATCATTTATTCAGTTTAGGCTGTTACAAGCACATATGAATGTCTAGAAGCTACACCATCGGTTCGTAAATCTACGGCGAGAGACCTTGTACTGAGAAGAACCGGAAAGAAACTCAGCAAGGGCTGTTTTTCTCCCCCTGTTTTATCATTTACAGAGTCCGACGAATGGACCGCCATTCGTTAATGATTTACGATCAAGGGCGGATCCAACTTGGGGGGGGGGGGGGGTCATATAGTCGTGGTCAAGTCACAGTGGGTACAGATGGACCCAGCCCTCTGGATCCGCCCTTGTTTACGATGCCACAAACAGACACAGACTCACTGACACACAGACACGTCTAACTTATAACACCCCTCTTTTTGCGTCAGGAATTAAAAAGAACAGGGTTTGAGAAATCTTTCCCCTTTAATCTCTGATTTTGATGAGCAATGAGGGCTACCGTTTCCTGTCTCACCAGATGGCGCCACTGTTGAGTGAGGTCCTAAATTGTAACTTTTAAAGTTTATTAATACGCACATGAAATCAAAGGTTACATTTAGATCGTATTTTAACACAAAAGAACCATATCCTAAACATAATAGGCCATGCCACAGTGACGCCCAGTTCCATTTTATTCGGAAAAAATGGGAACATAATCATTTTTCTAAGCTCAAATTTTTAATAACTGACATTCATTGCCACATAACTCATATTTGCCATAATTAAGCCGAATTGTTACCAATTATTCACAACATTATTTTAATAAGAAATAAACTCGCGTAGTCAACCAACAAGCAATAACATTTGACATTTCGGAGACCTCACGCTACACTAGCGCCTCTAGCGGCGGATTCATACGCGATAGCCCTCATTGCTATACCTACAAGGAAATTGTGTTGTTGCAACCATGCTAAAAGGTTAAATTGTGTTAAAAACAGATATAACTCTGGAGTTGCGAGCGCTGGGCGTGCCGTGGTCGCTGCACGCGTGGACACTGTCGCTGGCGGCAGCGGCGGATGCTGCGCTGGACCACGTCATAGATCAACTTCTACAGGACTTCTTGCAGGTGACCTACTGAATCTAACTCGTCATTTCTCTTATTGTCACAGGGCCGGATTTAAGGCAGGGCAGGTGGGCCTTGGGGCCCAGGGGCTCCATTAGGGGTGATGACGGGGTACAGTAAACGAAATTCTATTTAGTCCGTCAGTTAGATGATCAAAAAATAATGGACACGTATTTTTTCTTTGGGCAATCAACCAAAAAATGACATAGTTATAGCTCGTCAAAGTTTGGGAGTAGGGGCTGGTGACGTCACTTTTGAGTGAATTTTCCCTTATAAGTGTACTCAAACGTGACGTCATATAGGGATGATGACTAATTTTTTTTTCTTCGTTTATCGGGTAGATTATCAAAAAGTATTGGACACGTATTTTTTCTTTTTTCACATAATATAAGCATTGCAGAGATATATTGATTTGAAAAGTCGCATGACGTCATGTTTGAGTACACTTATAAGGGAAAATTCACTCAAAAGTGACGTCACGAACCCCTACTCCCAAACTTTGACGCGCTATAACTTTGTCATTTTTTGGTTGATTGCCCAAAGAAAAAATACGTGTCCATTATTTTTTGATCATCTAACTGACGGACTAATAGAATTTCGTTTACTGTACCCCATCATCACCCCTATTCCACATCAGAGATAAAAATATAAATATCAATGGTCACTTTAAATGCACAGTCTCACGTGTGTCAGGGGGATGCCCCTATGCTCCTGGGTCCCCTAATCCGATTGTAGTAAGGCCAAAGGGGAAGATCTTCCTCCGAGCTGGGTGATGTTAGCTCAGGGGCCGCGGCCCGACTGATGTTGGTCGGGCATCGTATATATGAACTGTTGGCTGCCGAATTTTACTTGCGCGATGTAGGCTTCCTTACGTTGTGAACGCAGCGCCGGTAGTGCCATCTCTTGAGGAGGCGTAAGATTGTTTCCTCTATGTTAGTTATATGTGGGGCCTGTAGATGTCGCCGCCACACGAGCATCCCCCCAACCGCAAGGACGAGAAGGAATCGCTCCTATAAGCTGGATGAGTGAATCTTTTGGGGGTCCCTAACCACGATGTTAACCGACTACTAAAAATTGTGGAAACTTCTCTATTCCTTGAGTGGTTCGTCATCAGAGAGCAAATAATTTACTAATTATTGCCCCCTCCCCAAAATTTCAGGCTGCGACCGCAACACCTGGCCTACTCTATTTCAACAAAAAACGAAATTTCGATCAACATTTCGCACGTTCCTTACTCTGTTTCTATTTCATTTCGAAAATTCATTCGTCCGAAAATAGTTACATAGACATTTAAATTCTCTAAGCCTACTCTAATTCACAAAACTTTTGAACTAAAAGTTGAATTTGACAGATAATTGTTCGAAATTTTAACCTCAAAATGACGAAAAAAAAAAATTTCCCCTTTCACTTTCGTTTTGGATTTTTGTTTAAATTAAACCTAAATTACTACTTGAGTATTTTAAATTAAGGCTGCTTAGCGTGAGGAACATTTTTTAGTATGAAGAATTTACAAATAAATCGTATTATTGTATTGCCATTACTTCAAAGTGTTACACGACAAATTTAGGTTGATATACATTCGATTGTATCAACTCTACAAATAAGTCGGCTTGTCAAAAGAGGTTGTTTTAAATGTAATCAAAAATGTTGTCATAAAGTAATATTGTTTTGAAGTAAAAAACATTTTCTAAAAAGTGTAGAAAAAAAGAACTTAAACATAACTCATTCCATTCGTTCACGATAATTTTCTGTGATTCCGAATTTTATGTGCGTGTTCGAAGATGAAATAGAGTAGTCACTGGCGAAATTTCGTTTAAAATTCGTTCGTTGCTAAAATTTCGTTTCGGAGAAAGAGAGTAGAGCACCTGATTGGAACTTCGTTCCAATAGAAACATCGGAACACAATTTGTGTTTTATTAAAGTTATATTATTCTGAACAGGTGTGCCCATCAGACGACAGCCATTACAGCAAGCAGTTCATTTACGAGTGTCTCCCTCTGCTGTTTAATATTTTAAGATACAGCAAGGTAACTAAACTTTTAATAATCTAATATTTGAGTTAATTTTAAGTTGGTAAACGCATGAAATAAAGATATCTAATGTTAGCGGACGTCGACGTGTATGTATGTATCACTACATAGTATAAACCAAAGTCGCTTTCTCTGTCCCTTTGTATGCTTAAATCTTTGAAACTACGCAACGGATTTTGATGCGGTTTTTTTTAATAGATAGAGTGATTCAAGAGGAAGGTTTACATGTATAATAACATCCATTAAATAGTGGAGAAGTACTGTTATTTTTGAGGTTTCTCATGTGATGTCGTAAATAATTAAATTTTTTCCGCTTACATTGCAAACGCAGGCTGAACCCTACGAGTTTTATCAAAATAATGTACTAAGTATTGTACACATTGAAAAGGTAACTACAGAAAAGTCCGTGATGGTATATGTCTATCTCTTATGGATAACCCACAATAACTTTTTTTTGTCATTTACTTTTTACGACAAATAATGGCTAATTTTCGAAGCGATTTTAACCAATACAGCATTAATCCTTAACCAATTAAATACCTTGAATACATTGCTCATTTAATATAGATCTATATGGCCCTTTACACCTTATGATTTAAGTGAATATTTTCGAAGATATTACAGATTTAAAATAAAGGGACATAGCGGTTCCGACGCTACCGGGCGGGGGGGCTTGGCGGCACGTGCCTATTGTAATTAGGTATTAGAAGAATGTCATTGTGTATAATACAAGCCTGACAACAAAAACTATAATCTACACTACAGCTCTACACCGAAGCGAAGCGAGGGCGGGCCACTAGTATGTATATATTTAGGTGTGTGTGTGGGATGCGTGCGCAGTTTTTCCCGACGAGCATGAGAGTTGGAGGGTAACTCGGCGAACGCTGCAATGATACGAGAGTCACGAGCATCACACGCAAGGGCGTCGCCAAGGGGGGCAGGGGGGGGGGGGGCAGCTGCCCCCCCTAGAGACCAATAAATGTAGCTAGCCGCAAAGCGACCAAAGTGCGAGCAATTGACTTCCTTACCTATAATATTGCCCCATTGCCCCCCCTTAGTCATAAGCTGGCGACGCCCTTGATCACACGTGACTATATATTTGTATATATATATATTTAAATATGTTACTAGCTGACCCAGCGAACTTCGTACCGTCATAAAAATAAGGATTGGTGGTAGAGGGTTGAAAATTCAGGGTTATATGTATTTACTAATGCTGTATCATAAAAAAATTAAATAAATAAAAAATATCTAAAATTGAAAAAAAAAATTAGGGGTGGATTACCCTTAACATTTAGAGGGATGAAAAATAGATGTTGTCCAATTCTCAGACCTACCCAATATGCACACTAAATTTCATGAGAATCGGGAAAGCCGTTTCGGAGGAGTTTAACCACAAACACCGCGGCACGAGAATCTCTTATTTATTAGACAAGTCCGTCCGTCCGTCCGTCCGTCCGTCCGTGGTGCTGTTTCAGCGGCCAAACCGTAAGAGATAGGATAAAGAGAATGTTCAAGTTATAAGTTAAGAATAGTCTGATAAGACTACAAACCGGATTTGAGTAACGTAGCACTTCCGGTTTTCGAGAAATCACGTGATTTCTATTTCAAACGAAACCACACAAAATCTCCGAAGTTCTCAATTAATTAAATACTTTTTTTTTTTTTTTTTTTTGGTGAACATTTGGTTCACCGGTTTGCTAGTTTTATATATTAGATTGAAGTTATTCTCCCATCCCAGAAGGAGGGCACGGTGCTACTGCTAGCGGACATTCTGTGCGCGTGCTACGGCTGGGAGCGCGTGCCGCCCGTGCTGGAGCCCCCGCCCGCCCACCAGCCGCCGCCCGCCCGCGTCGACCCCTCCTACGTCAACAACCCCGAGCTGGCCGACGTCACCTTCAGGTGTGTGCTCATCATCATATCAGGGACACGCGGTAGGAACGCTGCCGCCCGTGCTGGAGCCCCCGCCCGCCCACCAGCCGCCGCCCGCCCGCGTCGACCCCTCCTACGTCAACAACCCCGAGCTGGCCGACGTCACCTTCAGGTGTGTGCTCATCATCATATCAGGGACACGCGGTAGGAACGCTGCCGCCCGTGCTGGAGCCCCCGCCCGCCCACCAGCCGCCGCCCGCCCGCGTCGACCCCTCCTACGTCAACAACCCCGAGCTGGCCGACGTCACCTTCAGGTGTGTGCTCATCATCATATCAGGGACACGCGGTAGGAACGCTGCCGCCCGTGCTGGAGCCCCCGCCCGCCCACCAGCCGCCGCCCGCCCGCGTCGACCCCTCCTACGTCAACAACCCCGAGCTGGCCGACGTCACCTTCAGGTGTGTGCTCATCATCATATCAGGGACACGCGGTAGGAACGCTGCCGCCCGTGCTGGAGCGGAATGAAAACCTCGATATAGCAATTGGTTAGCGTATTCGGTCTGCGTTTTCCTATTTGATTGCGCATAGGATATCGTAAAACAGAGCGAGGAGTTCCAGCCCCCCTAGCATGAGTACAAAACGCGATATGATAAAGCGATTTATCGACATTAACTGTCAAACTACAATGGAGTTTGACAGTTGAGTGTCGATAAATCGCTTTATCATATCGCGTTTTGTTGGTCATGCTAGGGGGGCTGGAACTCCTCGCTCTGTTTTACGATATCCTATGCGCAATCAAATAGGAAAACGCAGACCGAATACGCTAACCAATTGCTATATCGAGGTTTTCATTCCGCTATCGTAAGATTCGCAAGAGAAAATGGCAAAATATAAGCCCTGTCCTCAAGAATAGAAGGAGGGCACGGTTTGTTTGTAAAAAAAGATAGGAAGTCGAATCCAACACGCTGCCTAGCTTCTCGCTTCGCTTCTGCACTCGTGTAAATAGTCTACAAGGACTTGATGTTCTTTAAAGCCGGTTACTCGTTAGCGACCTGTAACCGTAATCGTTGCATGCACTGTAACCAAAAAGCATAGTGTGTACATGGTTCGCTAACCTGGTTTGCAGCGACGTTTACAACTAAGCTACAAGCGTACACACTAGAACATCGTACTGTATCACGAATGTTACGGTTCATCATCATCATCATGAGCCTATTAATGTCCCCACTGCTGGGGCACAGACCTTCCCTATGGATAGAATAGGGAGATTGGGCCATGACCCACCACGCTGGCCCAGTGCGGATTGGTGGGTGCTAACGACTGCAGATGCAGCCGGGACCAACGGCTTAACGTGCCTTCCGAAGCACGGAGGAGCTCGAGATTGTTATTTTTGGTCACCCATCCAATGACCGACCACTGCGAAAGTTGCTTAAGTTCAACGATCGCAGCCGAACGAACCACTTGCGCCATCGAGCTCCTCCGCATGTTACGGTTACAGCTCGCTAATGAGTACGCGGCTTAAGAGAGGCGTGAAGAAGCATTTCTGCAGGCCGGCAAGGTGAGAATGGTTGATGAAGCAGTTTATAACTGCTGTACCAGCTATCTTCGCGTTTGGTCTTTATCGCCACTTAACGTCAGGTGGGGTAGAGTCATTTGCCTACCTGGCTATAAAAAACTATAATAAAAAATGTCGGCAAAGTAAAGAGCATGCCCTGTCCTCTCTCGACAAGAAAGGCATGATGCAGCTAGTGCTGGACACCCTGTCTACTAGCAGTCAGGTTTAAATTGACCTCAATTTATAACCAAACGGTCTACCTATAATTTAGTTGTATGATTATAGTATCTGTTCTTAAAATAGTATGCAGCCGGCAGTACGACTTGGGAGTCGTCAAAAATAAATTACTGGAGCTTATCGCTATTAATAATGATAACACATCTAAAGAAAAGTTTACTAGAAAAAAAACCACGCGGTCCAGGCAGCGGACGGGACTCGAACCCGCACCCTTCGCAATCCGGGCGAATGCACTGACCATTATACTACCACGGCCCTATTGGCCGCGTTGAAATTTTCCTAACCTTAAGCTGCAAGGCAGCGCCCTCTCTTCGCATTGTAGGTAACCCACAATGTCTAATGAATACTTTTTCAAGTATTAAACATTTGAAAGAAGAAATAGCAATTATAGTTATGTTTTTATTTATTTTTAAGCATTTAACTGCTAGATGTTGAAATCTAAAGAAAAGTTTACTAGAAAAAAAATCCACGCGGTCCAGGCAGCGGACGGGACTCGAACCCGCACCCTTCGCAATCCGGGCGAATGCACTGACCATTATGCTACCACGGCCCTAATGGCCGCGTCGAAATATGCCTAGCCTTAAACTTTTCTTTAGATTTAAACATCTAGCAGTTAAATGCTTAAAAATAAATAAAAACATAATGATAACTCATGTTTAAAACTGCGTGAGAATTCCTGTAAACTCTGAAATGACGCTGTTCTGATCCGACTTGGCTTGGGTATGGCGATTACGTTCTTCGTGCTTGGAGTTCACTTTCATGTTTATCCTGGCAGAGTGGAAGGTCGTCTGTTCTACGGGCACAAGATCGTTCTGGTGTCGGAGTCGCCGCGCCTGCGTGCGATGCTGACGCCGCCGCGGCAGTCCAACGAGGGGCTGCCCAATGCCAACACCGCACCACCTCTTGTACAAATCAACGATATTAGATACCATATATTTGAGGTGAGATACTGGTCTATAAAGCCCGTCACAGACGTAGCTATAATATATATTGATATATCGAAATATATATTATATTATAGCAAACTACCACAGACGGGAGCTAAACTATAATATATATTTTGCCCTCAATCGGTCTGCGGTCGTATTGTACCGTAATATACCGAAATATATCTGTCGACATATTTTGGTGACGTCATAGAAATATATATTATAGCTGCGTGTGCGGTCACTCGAAAATTTATATTGAAAATATGTTGTAATATGTCTTGCTGTGATTCATATTAATATATATTATAGCTACGTCTGTGACGGGCTTAATGCGATTCAACTAAGAATAGGAACGACTGGGCGCCATATTGTGATGTCATAGCTGTCAATTCAAACAAAATAGGTAGAGTGAGCAAAAAAAAGTTTTTATTCAATAAAACTGATTAAATGAGAAAAAGCATCAGATTTTTTTAATAACATTTATTTACTAAGATTGAGAAAAAAAAACACCGATTTTGAATAAAATTTATTTATTAAGACTGTGAGAAATTAACATTAATCAGAATCTAGCTCTTCTATTCCGCTCATCTCTGCATTACCGCCAGAGTAGTTATGAATAATCATGCACTATTACTAGGTCACATACCAACATGCATCCTTTATGTAAACGAAAGTTTGAAATCGAGTTTCTGAACGCAACAAAGTGACATTTGATTGACGATTTAGGTTATCAAACATTCATGGCCAAAGTGAAAAAAATATCAACCGATATTAATTATCAATATTTGTTTACAAATGTTTGGTTTTTATTCTTTTCGGATTAGCGGAGTGCTAAAAAAGGGTTCCAAGACTTTTTTTGCAAACCGTACTTTTCAAGCGACATTTGACAGATAGAGGTCATTGGCTTTCCTATTCTTATTTGAATCGCATTATAATCATCGTTTTAACACTAAATTTAAAAAAAAATCTTAACAGAAATAGCACATTTGTTTGTCTGCCATAGTCTTTAGACGCTTGCGACACCAGAACTATCACTCACACCGTTGCCTACCCTGAACCAAATCTCTACCCCATGGAGCCCCAGAACCTTACTTGCTGACAGACACACAACACAACCAAAAGGCAGTATTATCTAACTGTGATCTTCTGTAAGGTTGAGCTTTCCCCAGACGGGCGCTCTAATTCGAGCGGGAAATCAGCTATGCCCTACCCTTAACGAATTCTTGAAAAATCCATAATCAATCCAGCTCGAAGGACCATGAAGTCGTTAATGTTGCGTAAGTGAGTCTATTATAGAGTACACGTTTTTAACAGCGTCATTGTTACAGTGTTTAAATGCGATATTTACGCTGCAATTATTTTTACCTAGTGGGACATAAACATATACCATCAGCCGGGTCTGAAATGCCAACGCAAAAACGAGTCCAAAATCAATCCACTACCGCAGTTCATTAATTATATCTATCTGACTATATGTTTCGCTCGCCAGCTTAATAGACCATGACTATTATTTTGCTATTTAATTTCCAGCAAGTGATGAAGTACCTCTACTCGGGCGGGTGCTCGAATCTAGATATTCCGGAGTCTGATGTTCTGGAGGTGCTGGCAGCAGCCGCCTTCTTCCAGCTGCTGCCGCTGCAGCGCCACTGCGAGGCGCGTGCCGCCACCACCGTAGACCTGCACAACCTGGTCTCCGTCTACATCCACGCGAAGGTAACGTAGCACTAGCGACTGCTGCAGCTGCCGTATCTTCTTCCAGCTGTTGCCGCTGCAGCGCCACTGCGAGGCGCGATTGGGATCGATTCTAAATGCGGCATGGCATGTTTGATGTAAAGGACAATGTTAAAATTGGCCTAAGAATCAACACCAATTTGGCATTTATGATAATTCTTAGTATATTTTTTGCGATAATTATCAGTATTTAGATTGTGACGGACACTTCCAGTTAAGTAAGCTAAATTAAAAAGTTAAAAAATAATCTGAGACAATAAATAGCATTTTATGTGTATAATCTATGACAGCGCTGCAAACAAAACACTATTTCTTCCTAATGCCGGCACTTCACTTGGCTTAGTTTTCCAATTACAGAGCATAATGCGACTCAGTGGCGCACAATGCCGAATTATAATGATGCTTAATTGGAACGTGAATTAGGTTTCAAATGCACCAGCAGAGTGCGCTAAGTCAATGTTTGTACCTTCATCCATACTTATATTTATTTTTTTGACACAGTTTGAATTAACTTTGATTATTTTAAAAGAACTACAATGTTACGAAAGCTTTAAAAAAATTCAACAAAACTTAAAGAAAAAACACTTGTTAATTTTCTATCACTGAGTTGGTAGATTGCACGCATCACACGAAAACATTAGGTACTTTTGAGAGTGCTCGATTGTGCGAAGCGTTGCTGTAGTTGAAATATTCAACGATAAGCATTATGCCGCATAATTTGCTCTAGTGCTGTAAAACTACCCTTATTAAGCATGACAAGGACAAACTGATGTCAAGTGAAGGGCCGGCATAAAACTCGTTACTCTGTGGTCGTGGTGCAGGCAGTTTGCATTCGTAGTAATCTGTGGCATTCGTGCATTCCAAAGAATAGTTTAATATACCGGAAAGTGCATTCTCGTTTCGGATTACCTGTTGTGTGTGTTTATTTGCGATTGTTTTTCCCTTAATTTAACTATTTTGGCTATCTAATATGCCATCAATGTTACCAAAGAGGAGAGCCCTTATTACCAAGTGCTAGTGAACCTGTGCCACAACATCCTGAGAGTATCATACTGCTTAATTATTCAAGAACACAACATCCGACACACATTCACGCTGCATATTTACACAATATACATGTGATATACAAATAAATACAATATACAATATTATACAACTACGTGAAAAATAGTCAATAAATAAGAAGCAAAACTACAGTTTTTATTTTATTCATGATTCCTATCTAACCAAGTTTTTCCTAATAGATATTCTTTAAAATCGCACCGAATAAAATGAATTTGTTGTAATATTAATTTACTTTATACTGAGTACATACTAAGTTCATAAGTTGACCTATGTTTCATTGAATATTAAACATAACCTCAAAAACATTTTAGTTTTCCTAATAATTTAAGTTCTCAGAAGTGTCCGTCAATAATCTTTGTTTTTACAGTCATTTACTTACGATTTCGAACCTAGAAAATAATATTTCATGATTGTTGGTTCTTAGGCTAACTATGTATGGCCGCTGAACAATGTCCTTTAAATGACTAGGTTTAATTTTTCTATTGATTTATGAACTAAGCAGATAAATGCTTAAAAAAATACATTAATGTTGCTTTTATTTATTTAGTTTAACTTTTTGTATTACTATGTTAATTTATGTTAACTTTTTATTACGAAATCAGTCTGTTTACCCTGACCCTTTCCATTAATCCGTGAAGCTCTTGCTACCTAGCTCACTCTTTCGCTATCTGTCACAGTATTAGCATAGACATAAAAAATAAACTTAGCAACACTCGCATAAATTTTGACAACTCTTTAGAAAGAGTGAAAAAATACCTGAATTATGGGCCGCACGATCGCTTTATCTCTACGACGCTTACTTTTGCTGGACTTGGAACACTTAGTCCGTTGTCTATGGTATACTAGGACAGACATAGATATTTTTTTTTAAATATTCTCCCTTTTTAGGGAAGGCAAGGGGAACTAAAGCCCATACAGCCTCGTCTTTAGTTTGTTTATTTTATATTGAAGAATAATTTTGACGACCTCCGTGGCCGAGTTGTTTGTACGCCGGGTTTCATGGTGTCGCCGACTCGAGAGGTCCCGGGTTCAAATCCCGGTGGGGGCAGATGCTTGTGTGATGAACACGAGCATTTGTACTCCAGTCATGGATGTTTATTATGTATTTCTATATAAATATATTTCTATATATATTCTATATATATATGTACTGCTTATGTATTCTATCCGTTACCCTAGCATCCCATAACACAAGCCTTCCAGTGCTTACTTTGGGGCTAGGCTAATTGGTGTGTGTTTTAAAAAAAATATATATATTTTAAAAAACGCAACTAAAAGACCGTCATAATAGCAGAAGACAACAATACCCAGAACCTCGCAGCACTTCACCCTATATAAAGAAAAACATTTCAAAGTTATAAAGACTGTAACAAAATATTTGAACACTTGAATAAATATTTACAAAGACAAAATACTGACATAGATATAGTTTCTTACTGTTATTTTTTTCCACAGGTTTACGGTGCAACTCAACTACTTGAATACTGTCAAGGGTTCCTACTCCAGAACATGGTGGCGCTGCTGACATACGATGACTCCGTCAAACGCTTGTTGTTCGGCAAGCGGCTACCGGGACACAACGTGCTGGGTGCTCTCTTAGCTACGCTGCAGAAACGAATCGAAACTAGGAAAACTCAAGCTAAATCTAGGTAGCATTAAAAGGATTGATAAAAAAATCTATGATGATATTTTAAAGCCAATGTATTCACTGATAAACTATTAAAACAAATTATTATTGGGCAACTGTTTTAAATGTAAAGAAAATATAACTAGAAAAAATTCCACGCGGACCAGGCACCAGACGGGACGCGAACCCGCATCCGGGCCAATGCATTGACCAGTTATGCTACCGCGGCCCTCACGGACCGCGTCGAAATTCCTCTAGCCATTCTTAAGCTGCAAGGCAGCGCCATCTCTTCGCATTATAAGTAACCCACAATGTCAAAAGAGATGGCGCTGCCTTGCAGCTTAAGAATGGCTAGAAGAATTTCGACGCGGTCCGTGACGGCTGCGGTTGCATAATTGGTCAATGCATTGGCCCGGATTGCGAAGGATGCGGGTTCGCGTCCCGTCTGCTGCCTGGTCCGCGTGGGTTTTTTTCTAATTATATTTTCTTTAGATTTAAACATCAAGCAGTTACATGCTTTAAAAATAATAAAAATTATAACTGTTTTAAAATCAAAATGTAGATAAAGGTCGAAAAACAAAAATGATCCTCGACAGTGCTTTTTGATCCCAATTTAACACACGTTTGAGAAACTTCAATATCGGGGACATGATCATTCTTTCTGATAACTGTGTTTCTAAAAAATGTGCATCCGTGTATTTTTTTCCCCTTGTTAATACATTGCTTGAGTACGTACCTATTATTTAAATAACAAAAATAATTTAGAACGTATCGGTTAAACGTTAAACCTTGTAAGAGACCGTATATTTCATAATTTTTACACAAATTAAAAAAAATCTATACTATCATACTTAATATTCGACTGATCTTTCAAAAATGTATTTACCTAGTTTATTTAATTTTATTATTATGTAGATACATACATAGCCTACAGATTCAGTACAATCGATCTATAGTTATTATGTAATTTTTATTTCATTTTGATTACATTTTCCGATGCTTTAAATGTATGAAAAAGTATTATGACATTGTAACAAAAAAAAAATGTAATTATTGTTGAAATAAAGCTTTATGTTGTAAAATGTTAAATCATTCGAAAATTATTTAATCCTGTTGCTGTGTTCCTGTTTAGAGTTGACGATACACGTTACGAGCGTAGGATCTACATTGGGATTGCAGGGATTTTTATTTCGATGATAACGCGGCCCAATTCATTTCCTATACGAGCGAAGTGAAACGAACCTTGTTTTTACCCATAGATATAGGACGTGCCTATGTTTTTAACCAATTGGGGGTATTTCCAAATTCAATATTCATTTATTCAGTTTAGGCTTTTACAAGCAATCTAAAACTCTAATGAAATAAAATTAAGACCTTACCATAAGATATATTAATAATGCTTTGGAAGAGTGGTTCCTTCTGGTACAGGCAACGATTTTAAATACCCTAGATACACCAACACGAACAAAACACATGCCCGAAACCTGTCCAAAAGGTACATTGGACATAAATAGTACTCTTTACATTGGACGATCCACGGAGCTCCGTAAGATGATCGCGCAGTCTAAACAATAAAAGGCATTACTTAAACATTAAAAATCACCTTAAAAGCACAAGTTTGGACAAGGTCTTAATTAAAACGCATGCGTCAAAGAGTTATGACAGTCCGATATATAAGCTCGTAAAATTATACGACATATATTTTTTCACGGAGCTCAGCGGCATGTTGACTTTTCAACGGTCCGCGCGTGACTGTGAACCAAGAAGTGCTTGAGTTGTGTTCAAGCACTTCTTGATAGGGACACATTTTGAGCACACGCGATGTATCTAGGGTATTATCGTTGAGTACAGGTGTTAAACACATAATAGAAGGAACCCACCCTGGTTTGGTATACAACAAATGAGGAATCGTAATAAACTTTTTTGATTTTTGACAAGCACACGTCAAATTCGAAAGCTACGCCATCGTTTCGCAAATCTACGGCAGGAGGCCTTGTACTGAAAAGAATCGGCAAGAAACTGCACAGGCCGCTTTTTTCTCCCTGTTTTATTTCATTCGGTGTCGTCAAATTGATAGCTGACATCAAAATTATAAATATGTATCGAGGTCAAGTTCCATCACATAATGTAAAATAGGCTTCAATAAATATGCAACAGCCACTTGACCAGAGCACACTAATTACCAAAGATGCTTATAATACAAAAGAAGAGCTAGTACTCATTGCAGAAAATGTAATATTCATTTAATGAAAGGAAAAATAAATTACGGGCGATCTGAGGTCGGGAAGGGGGAGGGGGTGAATTTTTAAGGGTAAAAAACGGTTAATCTCGATTTCGGGTAAAACTGCAAGTCCTAAAAAAAAAGTTAAATGGCACAGTTGGCAAAGTTGACAAACAAAAAACATACCAGCTTTTTTTTTATTTTGACATGAGAATTTTCGATTGAAAATAAGGGTGCTTTTTCGATATTAAATCAAAATAAGGTGAAAAAATGAATATTTTAAATAAAAAAAAATACTGTATGTTTGGGACATACAAAGGTAGGAGATTGCTCAGCTTCCATACATGTTTGGCCTAAAGACCAATAATCATGAAAAATTGTTTCCTAGATTCGAATTTATATATAAATTACTGTAGAAACGAATATTATTGACGGACACCCCTGAGAACTTCTATATACCATATACACTGAACATATTAAAATAATTAAAAACAAATAAGTTATATAATAAACTAGGGAAATCAAGCCAAGTACCGAAATTATGGATTAAATTCAGGCACAGACTATTTTACTCTGTGACAGAAACTGTGTGATGATTGTGAATGAGCCACAGATTAGAGAGAATTTTTAAACTCTAGTTAACCAAAGAAAGCTAAGAGATTTAGGTTCTATAGCCGTATATTCAGTAGCTTCATTATTTTTGTTATGTTTTTAAGATAACCATATTTTAGATTTTTAGTGTATCACACCTTATAATTTTATTTTTTTACTAATTTATAGTCAGGGAACGTAGGCCCATAGATAAATACCTTAAAGTCTAACATATATACAGATTATAATGTGTTTATGGAGGTGTTTGGCGAAAAATGTATGGCAATAGACTTTAAGTATGCTTTCCAATTACAGAGCATAATGCGACTCAGTTCCGCACAATGCCCAATTATGCTGATGCTTGATTGGAACGTCAATTAGTTTTCAAATGCACCAGCAGAGTGCGCTTAGTTCAGTGTTAAAAGTATAATATTAAAAGTCCTTTTTAAAGTGAATATATTATACAAAGGTGTCCGTTGAAATCTAATGACTGTAAATTGAATTATAAATTACGCCAATAATTACCGTGTATGTCAATATTTTTTGTGCATTTAGGCCAATTTGAGCAATCTCCTTTAGCGAAAAAATATTTTTTTTTGCAAAATAAAAAAACCAAAAACTCGGTTATTCGAATTTTTCACATAAATTATGAGGTTATGTGGAAAAGTGTCGATACAAAAGTTGTAGATCCTTTTATTACCTACAACTTTGCCATTTGACTTTTTTTCTTAGGACTTGCAGTTTTACCGGAAATCGAGATTAACCGTTTTTTACCCTTAAAAACTCACCCCCTCCCCCTTTCCGACCTCAGATCGCCCCTAATTTATTTTTCCTTTCATTTTTGTTATATTCTCTACCTTTTCCAATGTGTTTCATCCTACTATATTTTTTTTTTCACTTTTTACCATTTTTAAAATTATCGACCCTGGTCTAATGTTAACATTACATTGTTACATGTGAATATTACATTTTCTGCAATGAGTACTAGCTCTTCTTTTGCATCTTTGGTAATTAGTGTGCTCTGGTCAAGTGGCTTTTGCATATTTATTGTAACCTATTTTACATTATGTGGTGGAACTTGACCTCGATACATATTTATAATTTTGATGTCAGCTATCAATTTCACGACACTGTATGAAATAAAACAGGGAGAAAAAAGCAGCCTGTGCAGTTTCTTGCCGATTCTTTTCAGTACAAGGCCTCCTGCCGTAGATTTGCGAACCGATGGCATAGCTTTCGAATTTGACATGTGCTTGTCAAAAATCAAAAAAGTTTATTACGATTCGTCATTTTACATTTTATTCGTCAGGTGTTTAACATCTGTACCAGAAGGAACCACTCTTCCATAGCATCATTAATATATCTTCTGGTAAGGTCTTAATTTGGTCCCGGCTGCATCTGCAGTCGTTAGCACCCACCAATCCGCACTGGGCCCGCGTGGTGGGTCATGGCCCAATCTCCCTATTCCATCCATAGAGAAGGCCTGTGCCCCAGCAGTGGGGACATTAATAGGCTGATGCTGATGATGACGAGTCGATTGTTTTGTCAAACAAGTCCGAAGATTGGTTTTTAACAAAATAATATGAATTTTGCGTTTAAAAGTGGTTAAATAGAAATAATATGTTAATAATTCTACTTATATGTAAAATTTAACACCTTCCTTTTGTAAGTTTAATATTACAGAAATGTTTTACAGCAAATAACTAAACAATTTGGCATATTTTTTCTTCTCATTTACACTCTCGCGACTTGACTCAGTCTAGTGAAATATCCGAGTGCAACTAGTTTTGCTTTTGAGCTGGCCCAACAGCGGGGGAATATCGACAGAGGGGACGCTGTGAATGCCTACTTGTTGCGTTGCTCTACGAATGTTGGCACTTCTGTGTTCTGTGAATTTTTGGGACTTGCTGCCCAAAATCATTAATTGTGAATAAACTACTCCACTCTTAACATTGTTATGATACTTTACAGAAAGTTGAAAATTTTATGATTATTTAAAAAAAACGCTTACCCACTTTAGTTACAATATTTTTTAGTTTGTTTCCCTAACTTATGGAAAATAACGGTATAGAATTTGACGTACAAATAAGTAAAATGATAAACTAGTTTCTTATGCTTTCCAACAAGGTACAAAAATTATTAATTTTATTAGCTGTTTTTATTAAAATCCGCAAACGGCTGTAGGGCAAACTATTCATTTTGATTTTTAAATTGAATTCAGATCGAAAAGTCAATACTGCTTCTCTACACTGTGAATAAAATTTAATATTGATTAATAAAGTTTAATATGGTTTAAATAACTGTGCCTAGGCACAGTTTAAGCCTAGGCTTAAAAAAATACAAATCCTGTTCAAACTGTCTACCATTATTTCGTATGCAAGCACGGAGTGTAGGACGTGCTTTATTCACTGTCACTCGGGTTTCAACCCGTGTGAGGGAAAAACTGAAAAACATTAAAAAAAACTAAAAAGTGTTGAATAGCAGTGAAATTTCATTTTATAGTTAAACGAAAGTAATATAAAAAAATCTAGTTCTGACAAAGAAAATACAAAGGCTGATCTACAATTTGAGCAACCAAAACTTAGGAATGGGGATCCATAACTAAACGATACTGAACGATTTTCCCGACTGGCCCGCGTGGTGGCTGTGACGTCACAGAGCTCTAGAGCTCGGCTCACGCTAAGTTTCGTTTATGTGTTGGTTTAGTTGAATGCGCTTACCTCAGTAACTACCAGTTCGATTTGCAAAGTTATTTTTGTGTTTTTATTAATTCATTTATCGAGGAAGGCTTAACATAACGCTATAACCAATAGGAGCAGAGTATCAATGAAAAATGTTGCAAAAACGGAAGAATATAAGGTACATACAGTTTTTCCGTTTTTGCTACATTTTTGCTCCTTTGTGAACTCCCACTGAGTGCGTTGCGTAAAAAGTTAATGTTGTGTGGGTTACCTACAATGCGAAGAGTTGGCGCTGCCTTGTAGCTCAAGGATAGGAAAATTTCGACGCGGCCATCAGGGCCGCGGTAGCATAATTGGTCAGTGCATTCGCCCGGATTGCGAAGGGTGCAGGTTCGAGTCCCGTCTGCTGCTTCTAGTTATATTTTCTTTAGATTTAAACATCAAGCAGATACCATGTTATGCAAAAATCACATAAGATGGAATTGTTTTCATTCAAAAGTTTAAAAAAATCCACGACAGATATAGGTAATGTCGATTTTAAGGGTTCCGTACCCAAAGGGTAAAAATGGGACCGTATTAATAAGATTCCACTGTTTGTTTATCTATTTGTCACCAGGCTGTATCTCATGAACCGTAATAGCCAGACTGTTGACGCTATAACAGAAAATACTAAAAATAGAATAAGTTTAACGTATTTATTGCCGTTTTTTGCTCTTTATTGATAACGGCAACAAGACGATAGCGCTTGAAATATTAACAGAATATTTAGTTAGAATCTAAAGAAAAAAATAGAAATAAACCCACACTGTCAAATGAATAACATAACAAGTATTAAACATTTGAAAGAACTAATAGCAATTATAGTTACATTTTTGATTTTTTTAAGTATTTAACTACTAGATGTTTCAATCTGAACAAAATTTTACTAGAAAAACTCAGACCATTATGCAACCGCGCCCCCGATGACCGTGTCGAATCTTCTTCTTAAGAAAGGCTAGACTTTCTTAGGCTGCAAAGTGCCATCTCTTCACGTTGTAAAATTTTCTTTAGATTTAAACATCTAGCAGTTAAATGCTTAAAAAAATCAAAATAGTACTATAATTGCTATTTTTTCTTTCAAATGCTTATTAGGTACTTGCCTATGCAAGTAGTATTCATTTGAATATTGTGGGTTACCTTTAATGCGAGTAGCGCTGCTTTGCAGCCTAAGAAAGTCCAGAGAAGTTTCAACGTGGTCAGCAGGGCCACGATAGCATAACATTCATTATACTTCTTCTAGAAGAAGTAAGCCAAAGATACGCCACCAAGTACCTAAAAAGATTTTATTTTATTTTTATAAATATAAATAAGTGTTAATTTTTATAAATATGCACTATACACTAGCATTCTCAGCTTAGACATGCAAAAAATGCCCTTGGGATTAGGTATTGGGATATTGTGGGAGACGATAAATTTGTATATGTAGCAGAAGGAGCGTACTTATTTCAAAGTTTGACTGCTAATTTTAGACCATTTTAGTATCAAATCTTCGTGATGCAGGTGTGAAATAGGCATGAGATCAGGATCTTCTTAAATTATATATTAAGATTAGGCTGTATGAACACAGTAACGGTTGCCTTTATAATAAAGAATTTTAACATTAAATCCTACGCCATCAGTAATGAAAAATTAAAAAAACATTGTTGTCTGTGGTTTTGCTTGACATGACATTGACATTTGCTGGTGACTTTCGTTGCGTGATGTAGTAAAGGAAGGTTTCGCGATTTTTTGTGGGTATAATTTAGCGAACAATAGTAATTTATCGCGTTAGTGTATTATAATTTTAAGTATTAAATGTCGTGACAGTGGATATCATGCAGTTTTACAAGGAAAGAATTCTCAATGCTGCCCAGTTAAAAAGACTTAGTGAACACAAATACTCGTGCACCAGTTCCAGTTTATTAGACCCATGGCTCCAGCCGTGGTGGTGTTGGCTGGTGTCGAAAACTCCGCTTTGGCTTGCACCGAATCTCATCACTATTTTAGGTTTAATAGTCAACATAGTTACCACATTAATTTTAATTTGGTGAGTGCTTTTTGAAGGTTAGTTATGTACTTTATTGTGAAAATTGTGTCAAATTCGCCACCACTGACGAAACAGCGTAACGGCACACCACTTTCGCCTTTCTTTTTACTTTATTGACTTTCCTTTAGCATGTTCTTTGCGAATATTGCTTCAGTGATTGTGAATTGTCACATATTTTTATCTATTTGTGGATATTGCTTTCATTGTTTATTATATTCAACATAGTATACTACGTACATGTGATTGGTCGGATACGTCGCGCCACCGTCTTTGATTAGATAAAGATATATAAGAAGTAAATACAACTGCCATAATATAATAAATCTGAAATGATATAAATATCAATATATCAATGTCAAGAAATCTATTAAACCTAACAAAAAACAAATATCTACTAGGACTTTTGTAATTTATCTTAGGTTTTGCTAAAGAATTTATTTAATAATACTAGACCTTTTAAGTGATGGAATTTTTTTAAGAGTGTAACTGCTAGATGTTTAAATATCTATCCAGGCGAATGCACTGACCATTATATTACCACTGCCTATATTTTATTTTAATTGTTGTTGAATCTGTAGATCATAATAATTAGAGATCAGAAAATCAGATGCATATTTACGTAAAGCAATTTTTTGGTTAACAAATTAGGGACTTCTTTGGACATTTTTATTGTAAATAAAATGTCGGGACCCCATAACTAATTGGATGTATATTTAAAAGTTAACTTTTTAAATGTGTTTGTAATTTCCTGTTTGAATATTTACGTATATAATGCACAGTACACAGTAAGATGTAAAGAAATGGTGGTGGGGTTAATAAGAAATCTTTTAAAATATTTTTATGTTATATAAAGAATGCAACTGTCATTTGTTGTTACACCATGGGTTTATTAGATCTAACTTTAATTAAAATTTCCCGGATTAGCAATGTTTTTTGTCAAGGAATTTCTTACTATCCTAAGCCAACATTGCAACTTTATGTAAATATGCATTAGATTATGTTATCTCTAATCATAATATAATTTGTTCTTAGTTATGAACATTTTTTGTTAATGAAGATTATTTTTAATGAAGGTATTTGGTGGTCAAGGTTTAAGTTAAAAAGGAGTCTGGAGCCCTATATATATATATAAACCTTCGGTTTATGACAACAATTGAATCATACTGATCTTATGATAGATAAGATTGACTTTCTCTAAATGGTATGACATGGTTTTTCCCCATATTGTACTTGTATATGATTTCTGATAGATTTTTTTTTTCGTTATGTCAGTTCTGCAAATGTATGTTTTTTATGAGGTGAAGTTATGCCTAGGTGTTTTCTAAAAATTATACTCTGAAAAATAAAGCCTATTCTAGATGGATGTAATCCAGCATACCAACCAAGGTGACCTTGATGGGAAGTTGGTTTAAATCCATGTTATTATTTTCGGCTACACGGATGTAATCCACGCGAACGAATGTAATCCACGAATAATCTTTCGCTTCTAAAACCAGTCCAGCTGTTGTTATCTGTACTGGGCTTACACAGAAGAATAGCTAAAAGAGGCCTGTGCCCTAGTAAAGCAGACATGTCTGATGATGATCTCCTATGCAGAGCATAAAAACTGAGAAAAATGGCACATGTGTACCTAGAGTGCACCGGCGTTGCCCATATACGCCTAGATATAGATATAGACTCTTGGTACACCAGGATCCCTCGGGGATGCCCTCGGGATTGATCTGCTTCTGGAGGGAGATAGACTGGCTGGGATAATCAGCCGTTATGGCTCATGTGCAATCGTCCACTTTAAGGACTTAATGCGAAAACCATATAAATAAATAATAAATATTTCCGACACTCACACCAATTAGCCTAGCCCCAAAGTAAGCACTATAAGGCTTGTGTTTTGGGATGCTAGGGTAACGGATAGAATACATATACTAACATCTGCTCTCACCAGGATTCGAACCCGGGACCTCTCGAGTCGGCGACAGCCATGAAACCCGGCGTACAAACCACTCAGCCACGGAGGTCGTCTGAAACCCGAACCCCCTAACAATGAACATAGACTGATGATGATCATCATCTTGCAGGTATAGCCCAGATGCACGCCAAGTCCCTCCAAGTTGGGCGTGCGCGCTATGCGCGGTGGGTGTGTTCGTGTATCAGAGCCTGGACGCCATCGACGGCAAGCAGGCGCGCCGCACCGGCAGCCAGTCGCCGTTGGGGGAGCTGTTCGACCACGGCTGTGACAGCATATCCACCGTGTTCATCGCACTGGGCGCCTGCACGGCGGTCAAGCTGGGAGATTACCCCACTTGGATGTTCTTCCAGGTGAGTGTTTGATACCTATGCTTTTGTGGTTGTGTGTACTGTTCAATGATGCTCAGTTTACTTGTTGAAATCAGGGCTTGAAACCGGTTTCGAAAATACCGGTAAATAAAGGTTAATACCGGTTTTTAGTAAAGGTTTCCTTCGGAGCACGTCCGTAATGAAAGCGGTACCTAAAACCTTAATAAACCGGTTTAATCCAGAGCGACAGGTGCACGCGTCGGCATCGCTTGAAGTTTGTTTTGTTTGAACTAATCAAGTCACAACTTGTTAATGCTCAGATATTGATGCATTTATTGACACGTTTGCTAGCGTCTAGTGAGTCAAGTTATTCATTTATTATCGATGCCGTCAGTAAGAGCGATTCAAAACCTATTTGATTTCGCTTTTTAGGAAAACCGGTTTTTTAAGGTTAAGGTTGAGCCAAACCTAAATAAAACGCTCCTAATGTACTTGACACTGATTTAGGTTTGAAAATTAACCGGTAAACAAGCCCTGGTTGAAATGCATTTGTTGTTGAGGAGGACAGAACAAAACTATAAACTACTCTTATTTCAATGAAGGCAGAACTTCTTATTTATATCTTGACTAAACAGTAAAGAACTCAAAAGGATATTTGTATTGGCGTAAGAAGTGTAAATATGTTTTTTTTTAATTACTTTGCCACACTTTTAATTTCTAGCATTAATCAATCAATGCACTGTGTTGTCACTTGGGACTGAATGAGGAGCACACTGGGGCACAGCTAAAAACCAGTATCTTGTTGCTCAACCGAACATTCCACACTATAATTTCTATACTTATGTATTAACTTCTTAATTGTATTTGTCTCAAGTTTTATCAGTTATTTAGTTTTCATGATTTTTGTGTATATAGGTAGGTAGTGGTCCTTGATGTTATCTAGAAATCGGAAATCAGAAATTTTATTGCATTTCATGTGGTAAATTAGGTCTAACATTATTATAGGGTACAAACACATGAGTCCTGTTAGGACATAACAATATTGAGCTTAAAGCTAAAATAAATTGATATCAACATTATTAAGTATTATATTAACAATTGTCAAATAAATATGAAGTCAATTTTAACAATATATAGAATTAAGAATAACAAGCAAACCAGTGAACCAAATGTTCACCAAAACCTGATTTAAAAAAAAATGTATTTAATTAATTGAGAACTTCGGAGATTTTGTGTGGTTTTGTTTGAAATTCGTGATTTCTCGAAAACCGGAAGTGCTACGTTACTCAAATCCGGTTTGTAGTCTTATCAGACTATTCTTAACTTATAACTTAAATATTCTCTTTATCTATCTCTTACGGTTTGGCCACTGAAACAGCACCACGGACGGACGGACGGACTTGTCTAATAGATAAGAGATAATAATCATGTCAAGGTATCTTTAATATTTGAAATTATTTATAATAGTCCTATAGTATTCACATAATTTATAAAAACATTTATTAACAAGGTAATCTATCTAATCTCTCACCCTAACTGATGTAATGAGGGCTATCGCGTATGAATCCGCCGCTAGAGGCGCTAGTGTAGCGTGAGGTCTCCGAAATGTCAAATGTTATTGCTTGTTGGTTGACTACGCGGGTTTATTTCTAATTAAAATAATGTTGTGAGTAATTCGGCTTAATTATGGCAAATATGAGTTATGTGGCAATGAATGTCAGTTATTAAAAATTTGAGCTTAGAAAAATGATTATGTTCCCATTTTTTCCGAATAAAACGGAACTGCGCGTCACTGTGGCATGGCCTATTATGTTTAGGATATGGTTCTTTTGTGTTAAAATACGATCTAAATGTAACATTTGATTTCATGTGCGTATTAATAAACTTTAAAAGTTACAATTTAGGACCTCACTCAACAGTGGCGCCAACTGGTGAGGCAGAAAACGGTAGCCCTCATTAAGAGAAGTAGATCATAGCGGATTTCCCGCTTTGCTTGGAGCTCCCATCTGGGGAAGCAACCTACCATTAGGCGGGTTATAAAAATTACAAATTCGAGGTTTGACGATTTCCACCTCGAATATTAGATTTAAGTAAAAGAAAAATTACACAAACAATAAGACTAGGATTTGTTTGTAAACGCTTATTAAATCTTCACATCATCATTATCATCATCAGCCTATTAATGTCCCCAGTGCTGGGGCACAGGCCTTCCCTATGGATGGAATAGGGAGATTAGGCCATGACCCACCACGCGGGCACAGTGCGGATTGGTGGGTGCTAACGACTGCAAATGCAGCCGGGGCCAACGGCTTAACGTGATAAAATTTGTTTTATTTGGCCTTTTTCCAGGGGTTCTAGTTTCTTTGAAACACAAGTTATCGATAAAAAGAACAATTATATTTTATGTATGACAAACAATTGTTTATCGATAGAAATCAAGGAGGAATCGGCTGAGGATGTTAGTACGTAAAAAAAATTGCTCCCCCCCCCCCCCCCTCTTAACCACTTTCTCTTTGACAAAAAAAGACAAGAAAGGCAACAACACCAACACTATGGAAATGCATCATCATAGTGTTTTCTTTATATATGAAAAAACTAGCATCTGGTCACGTCTCGCCTGATGAAAAGCGTTGACTTAGCCTAAAATGGTGCACGGTTATCTCCAGTGGCGGCGCTAGGCGTCGGCGACGGCCTCGCAAAAAATTTTTACTAGTTACCTATTTATTTTCGTTTCTCCTGGCCAGGCTTAGGTAGCCGACCCCGAACAATTCGGGGAAAAAGCTAAGCAGATGATAATGGATTTATATTATTTTCGATAATACTATAATAATACGTGCGTGATGGAAGCGAGTAGTACTTTACGGGTATTCAGAATCGTCTGTCTGGCAACACTATTTTTGTAATAAAATTTCTATTTTTGTAATAATTTTTTGTCATCATTTGATTATCAACAATAAAACTCGTTTACTCATACGTTATTTTATAATTTGGCTCACTTAATTTAACGGTTTTTTACTGCGAAGTAAAATAGCCCCGCCACTGGTTATCTCGTAGGAACTTATTCACTCGCGCGCGATTTAAATAGACTAGGAGGCCTACTCTAGTTCAACGAAAAACTTAAATTAAATTCTTTAAGCCTTCACAAAAAATTTGAAGTGAAATTTGAATTTGACAGATAGGTAATTGTTCGAAATATTATCCTCAAATTGACGAAACGAAAAGTGTTACCTTTTCATTTCCGTTCTGGGATTTTTGTTTAAATTAAACCTAAAATTACTACTTACTAGAGTATTTTTAATTAAGGCTGCTTAGCGTGAGGAACATTTTCTAGTATGAAAAATTTACAAATAAATGTAATTTTTGTTTATTATTGCATTGCCAATACTTAACTTTATTCTGGAGACGATATTTTGAACTAGCAAAATTTGATTTCAATGTCAGAAAAATGCACGAGTTTGTAATAAAATAATTAAAGCAATTATCAATTAAGTGTTACACGACAAATTTAGGTTGACATACATTCGATTGCATTAACTCTACAAATTAGTCGGCTAACACTGTCAAAAGAGGTTGTTTTAATGTAATCAAAAATGTTGTCTTAAAGTATTGTTTTGAAGTAAAAAACCTTATCTAAAAAGTATAGACAAAAAGAACTCGCAAACATAACTCATTCCATTCGTTCACGATAATTGTGATTCCGAACTTTATGTGCGTGTTCGAAGATGTAATAGAGTACAGAAACTGGCAAAATTTCGTTTAAAATTCGTTCGTTGCCGAAATTTCGTTTCGGAGAAAGAGACTAGAGCTCCAGGATTGTATGCAACGGAACAGAGAAGCCAGCTGTGAGTTCAATTACTGCTCTCATGGAGAGTTATCTGACGGCAATTACCTCCAAGATATTATTATATACTATATTTTATTTATTTACATTAACATATTTGTTTCTTAGGTTTTCACACACTTCACCTATTAAATAAAACAAATTTCAACGGTATAGATGCACTGCAATAAAAGTCTTTCGAAGGTAGCTCGACAAAGTAAATAAAATCATAATTCAGACGGCGCATCCTGAAAAGGATGCGATATGTCAATAAATAACTAAATCAGTGCATATTTACTGTTGCAACTTGTTTTATTTACATTAACTTATCAAAAAAATTATGATTAGTCTACTTGACATCAGGTTTGGCATCAAAGAGCGAAGCATTTAGTTGTTGAAAAACAAACTCTTCTTAAAGGATGACCTTGATAAATGTCGCTCTGTGGGCGCGTGGATAGCACTTGCGGTTAAGGCCGCTATTTATTTAATATAATTTATTATCTATCTTATAGACTCTAATTATGTATGTCTCAGTTTATGTATACTATTATATTTATCTGAGGAGCTCGATGGCGCAAGTGGTTAGCGCGTTCGGCTGCGATCGTTGAAGTTAAGCAGCTTTCGCAGTGGTCTGTAATTGGATGGGTGACCAAAAATTTACTATTTCGAGTTCCTCCGTGCTTCGGAAGGCACGTTAAGCCGTTGGTCCCGGCTGCATCTGCAGTCGTTAGCACCCGCCAATCCGCACTGGGCCCACTTGGTGGGTCATGGCCCAATCTCCCTATTCCATCCATAGCGAAGGCCTGTGCCCCAGCAGTGGGGACATTAATAGGCTGATGATGATGATTATATTTATATGTATTTGACTCGATTTTATAATGTATACTGTTGTCTCTAGCAATCTAGTACAGGCTCTGCCAGAATACCAGCGCTGTTTATGGTGGGGATATTCCACTCCTACTATAACAGCATTAAGCTGAGGCAGGATCCTGATTGGCCTTTTCTCTCTCCATATTGTTGCTCACTGTTGTTATTTTATTTTTGTTGCTATTTTTATTGTTTTTTTTTACATACTTGTGTAAGGTCGATAAAAGCTTTTTCTTTCTTTCTTTCTTTCTTCTTTCTGATAAAAGTGTGTTAGCAGTTCCGCAAAGACATACATATTTAATTTTATCGTACGACTAGCTGACCCAGCGAACTTCGTATCGCCATAAAAATATGG